TCAGTAAATATTGTCTATAAAGATAGTTTTTGGTATAAGGAATTAACTCTTTTACCATCGCAACTGTTGCGACACTATTACTAATGGATTTATCTAGTTTGACATTTTTAATTGCTTTCTGATTTCTATTAATATCAACATTGTACACTACTTCTGTTGGTTTAATATCAAATGCGTTGTGGTAGTCGTAAACTTTATCTGGATTGAGATTACTTGTTGTTCCTATGATTCCATAAGCAATCATGCAAACTCCTGAAAACTGTCTTGGATACACAGCTAGGTCAGATCCTGTCTGAGGAATATTAACCAAAATGTGAATAAAGAACTTATTCCCAGATGACAACTTCTTAAAATTAACTATTGTTCTATGGTAGTACATAAATTGCGTCTGATTTTTCCCATCGGTGTACCTATGGGATAGTTTACTAACACTAACATTTCCAATAGTTAATCCTGTTGAAGTTCCTTTGTCAACAGTTATTTGAGACTTATGCCACAGCTGATAATCAGTGTTGAGTATTTCCAAACACAAAGTATAATCAGCATTTGCAGTTAACCTGTAAAAGTTAATTCCCATTTTATACTTATAACCACCTTGATTATTCTTGTTTATTGTCATGAAAAGTACTTTGTGGTTATAGTCATGAAAGTTACCTGCTGAAGGTGTTAAGTCGCCTATTTTTGTTATATTAAACTATTTCCACCCTCTATTTCATCTGTCCATTGATTAGAACTTGTCATAAGATAAGCAAATTCATTCGTAGAATGACTCGGTTTTGGTTTAGTAGCCTTGGTGACCAACGTTTCAGTAAACTGCTTTGTAGCAGCATCATCAGGACTTGTTGGCTTGCCAAGGTTAGTAATCTTATTGCCGCCAAGGTTGATATCCGCTTTTACAGTTCCACTTATAACAATATTAGGTGTGTTGATTTCTATTCGCTTAAGTGGTTTGGTTATCGCCTTAGGTAGATCAGTGTATACCCGACAAGTGATAGCAAAGTGATAGGAATTGTTATGGGTTCGCAGTTTTACTCCTGACATATTGTACTTCCAAGACTTGTGAATATTCAATGACCAAGTGCCAGTGCGATTTCCACTAACCCAAAAAGTTGATTGAGAACGAGAGTCGTCTCTGGGGATAAACCACAGAAAGTCGACGTTGACATTGCGCGATCCAAATTGGAATTCTATTTTGTTAATGTAAGTGCCAGAAGTTGGCGTCCACCCTACAAGCGGCTGTCCAGGTGCTGATGTTGTAAAAACAAAATCATCAAAGGATGATCCTGAGATATATTGAAGATACATGGTTGTTGGTGCAACTGGATCTGTTTTAGTGAATATACTGCTTGTCTCATCGCCAGAATGATGATCAAACCTTTCTATTTGCTTACGAACCCAAACGCGATTAGCAGCTTGTTGATCTGTGGTGGGATCACTGAGATTTTTTATTTTTTTGTTGCCAACATTAAAGTCTCCAGTCATTGCAACAGAACCATCTTTTTTTAAAAAAGAACTAGTATCAGGTATTGCGTCATCAACATACTTTTTGGTTGCAGCATCTGTGCCTGATGTTGAAGGTATTAAATGAATTATTTTTGCATTGTTCATATTGAGGTTTCCTCCCATTGAGGATGTTCCATCACGTTTGAGATAGGTAACATCGGAAAAGATCTTTGTTGTTGGTTGATTATCCCCTGTTGGAAGTGGAAGATTGTATATTCGATTGTTTTGCATATCCAGATTTCCAGTCATTTTTCTTGTTCCGTCTAGCTTAAAAAAAACACTACCATCGACTTTGTTAGCCGCGACCTCATCATCAACCTATTTCTTTGTCGCAGGATTAGTATTATTTGTTGGTGTTGGAAGATTTTTTATCTTATTAGTATTCATGTTGACATCACCAGTCATCGGGTGAGATCCATCTCTGTAAAAGAAACGTATATCTGCGTATTGTTTTGTGGCTGGTTCATCTGCATCTAAAGGTGATTTAAGATTTAGAATGCGATACCTATCCTTCATATCAATGTTCGAATTAACTGTCAGTCTTGAGGTAGTTCCCACACCACCAGATCCAGAGGAATTATCATCAACGTACTTCTTTGTTGCTGCATCAGTATTGGCCTGGCCGTAGGTGTTCCAACATTTGTGAGCTTTTTTCCAGTCATATCATAATTTCCATCTGCGGTTAGACTAAACCCAACTCCTGGAGCGCCTTGAATTCCTCGGGCAAAAGGATAATTAAAAGATTGTTCGTTAAATATTCCCATTTTTAATTATTGCTTATATTACCAATAAAGTTTTTTGCAATGCGCTTATTTGGTTTGTCGATGTACAAAAATGAATACGGTTCTCGAGTTGCTGCGCGGTAATGCGACTTATCAACTCCCAACTCAGATGATATTCTGTTTGCTTCTCGAGAAGATAGAAATTCGTACAGGCAGTAATGAGAACAATTCAGCCGAATATCCTTTGGTGTTTGTTAAACGACTGACTGAGATATACCAGAGAGCAATTCTTATGTCGTCCTTGAATGAAATAATCAATCAGTTGTCTCTGGTTTTTATCACAAACGTAGTCATCAAATACACAAGTTTTTGGTTATCTTCATAATCCATTTCTGACACAGGAATTATTTCATCATTACTCACATGAATTATTTCATATCCGAGTTTAGAACTCAACTCCCTCATTTTTTGAATCAGCTTTTGATATTTATCCTGTTCTAGATTACGCGCATACAAATAAATCTCATCGTAATACAGCAGCGGTTTGATTAACATGTGGTAGAACAAATTAGTTTTACCACTACCGGAGTTTCCACAGATCAACATACGGAATGTATCTGATGGCATGTAAGGATACAGCTGTTTGAATTTTTTATCTGGATCATCAATGCTATCATAATTAGGTATTTCCATTTTATTTAATGTACATATTAGATAAAATGGATATTCAAGAAATTTAAAAAATGGCTAAAAATAAGATTGAATCCGATGATCTTCACGTCAGGTAAGACGACGAATAAAAGAAACTACCTGGGCAAAACAGAACCAGAGAGAAGGTTTTCGTGCGTCATTTCAACCTCTGATTTCCCAGTTTGAAAAACCTGAGGATGATAAAACAAAAAATATTTTTGCTCAAAATCAGGCAATTCTTAAAAATCAGTTGGCTCTTACAGAAGGTCTTAGAGCCAATCAAAAAGCGATTACTCAAGGTTTTAATCAGTTTGAGCGATTGGCTGATATGAAAGAATTACCAGGTGACCCCTGGGAAAGAGAGTGGGTTCCAAAACGTCGTCCACCGGGTGAAGAAGTAGATGAAGAACAACAAGAATTATTAAAAAATATTAGACAAGATTTAGAAAAAAACTTTGATGGTAATGAAATTAAAATATTACAAGAAGGAAATTATCCAAGACCAAATAAATTTTCTGAAACTAATATTCAAGTTTTGGAAGAAAAATTAGAAGATTTAAATAATGATATAAAGAAACTAAATGGTATAATTTTAGGTAGAAGAAATAATAAAGACCCATCTCCAGAGTATGCGGCTACAACAAGAGAAATAAAAGAAACACAAAGACTACTAAAGAAATATAAACATTACGGAATCGCGCCTGTGGATACGCGTCGGTAGTAAATGCAAATTTTTCTGTCAATCAAATGTGTCCTATTATTTGTAGGTGGAAATTGGTAAAACATCGTTATTGTTTTGGAGACAATAGAAGAACAAAAGATAACACAAAGATCAAGTTATGCGGTCTTAAAGCGTGTTGCGTGACTTAAATTTGTCCTAGCTCTCCCGCATTAAGACGTTTGGAATGAAAAGTCTGAAGCTTAGCTTTTAAAATCTTGATAGCCAAAATAAAAGGGGTGCCCCAAAAGGCAAGCATTTGGGAATTCAAAATCGATATTTTTGTCTCCAGCGAAATCCGGCGGATGAACAGTAATTTGCAAATAAGCGTAAGTGAAGCGAAATAGATACAAATTGCCGTGGTTGTAAACACAATGTTTCCTCGACGTTTTTTTCCTTTTGAAAGCGTAAATTCGCATGAAAGAGCTCCGCTTGCACAAAATAATATAAAATGAAACGAATCAAATCGAAAAGTGGTAAAAAAAAGTCAGAATATTTCAATTCGATGGAAAGTAAGTGATTGGGTAGGTGATTTGAATACTGATAAAAATAACGTCTAGAGCAGTTCAAAACCGTTTGGTTTCCTGAATTGTTTTCCTGGAATTCTATACATTCTGCTGGCCTAAATCGTTAAAATATGTTATGAAGTCAAAATATTTATCAAGTTGAGCGTTTGCATTTCCTTATAAAACGGAGAGTAGCGCAAAAGCTTCGATCTCTAGATTTTCTTAAGTTAAATTACCTTTGTATCGTGGAAACAATACCCTAACACTTGAGTCTTGAATCAAAGGACGCGACATGCGTCGGCTCCCTTTGTGAACGCGCAAATAGTCATGGGACCCGCGATTTTGCGGGCGACACGGATCTACAGGCGCCGTTCCGTAATGAATACATGGAAAATTTATTTTACAACAATTAACTATAAAGTAGGCCAGGGTATTTTTTTTACAACTCCCCCAAGAACTACTAAAAAGACTTGAATTACTTGGTGGATCACTTGCCGCAGGAAACAATGGCGCTCTTTCTAAATACATTCAAATCGCACATCGACTTAGAGACCTCGGAGTTATTACTAATAACCAACTTAATAAACTATTAAAAAAATATATAGTCATATAATACATGAATGAAAGTGCTAGTCACATTTCCTCTGTTAAACGAAAGAAAATAGGAATAAACAAACCTCATGATTTTATAGTTAAATTTATGCTCCTTTGAAACTTAATCCTGAGTACAAACACTATCTCGCCCTCGACAGGTTGTCGATGACTTGCTCTTGGTACAACATTAGAGGTGGTTATGGAAACAATAAGATTAAGTACACCCATGATGGTACAACATGACAAACAATTACTTTTACAGATGGAATGTATTCCTATTCTGATATAAATGATTACATTCATCAGTACATGGATCCAAAATCTCATCACACAACAGACCCAAAAGGATCAAAGGTGTATTCGATTAATCTTACTTTTATTCTCTCCACATATCGAGTTCTGGTATCACTTACTGGGTCATACCAACTTGATCTGCGTGGAACAGATTTTGGAGACCTCATCGGATTTGAAAAGAAAATTGTGACTAAAGCAGAGTATGGAACACGCCTTCCAAATATCACAAATTCAGTTGACTCATTAAATATAAACACAACAGCTATAAAAGATTCCGTTGTAAATGGAGTAAATACAAACACAATTGCTGTTATACCAACTGATAATCTTACGAGGAGTTGTCCGTTCACTTTCGAACGGAGAAGGGAATTACACTGCCCTGTTAGTTCTAATACTATTTCTGAAATGAGAGTATACATAACCGATTCACTTGGAAAACCTGTGGATTTGAATGGTATTGATTGGTTTATGACACTACTTCTTGATAATGTAAAACCAACTGATAATGTAATACTATAAATAAAATGCGTCAATCAGAGTTTTAAAAAAATACAATCCTATTACAGGAAAATTTACAAAACAACATATCTGGAGTGGTGATGAGATCTATGGAAAAGGAGTAACTGATAAATTGAAATCTTTATTTGGAAGATCGACTAAAAAGAAAAGTAGTCCTCCACCTCCAAAACCAGTAGTTTCCTCTTCTAAAAAAGCTGGTGACAAAATAGTAAGTATGCTTTCGTCTAACAACTCTCAACAAACAAGAAAAAGAAATTAATTAAATAACCAACACCATAAATAATAGAGTACTTGAAATTTTATCAGGAGGAAAAATTATATAATTATTAAATAAAAATGAAGTCTTTTAGAAATCCAAGATATCTTGAGCGATATGAAGATGTTGTTTTTGACCTTGAACAGGCTCTAGCCGCACCTGGAAATGGTGCCCACCAAACTAAAACAGGTCATAGATTTGTTGCCGATAACACGGGTGAGGCTACTCCATTTGATTGGTATAACGCGCGATTTTCAGTAGATTTCAAAGTTAATCAGCTGGCTGCTGGAGCTGATATAGATGTCGATGGGGATCAAATGGGAATGATAAATGGTAGTAGTTCTCTCATAGAAAAGTTAACTATCCTGGCAAATGGCCGAGACGTTTACAGTTGTAATTACGCTAATCATGTAGTAGATATTAAGAATTTGCTTGAGTATAATCCCTCTTATGCTGAGAGTGTTGCCACAAATGAATTTTACCCTCTTGATACATCAAGACAAGCTGAAAGAGAAAAATACACAAGAAGGCAAGTAACTCACAGACGGAATGCAGCTAATAACGCTGACGAAGCAGGAGAAATGATAGATGATGTTGAAGCTAATTATAACAAAGGTTCTGCAATAAGAAAAGTTATATTAGGAGACTCAGCAACAGTGCGATGTGAAATTCCTATCAACAGATATTCGTTTTTTGAAACATTAGAGGACAAACTTCTTCCAAATACAAAAATTGAACTAAATATAGAACTAGAATCAGAAAACAATCTTATCTGGCGAGCTAAAGGAAACAATTGTAGAGTTATACTAACAATATTACAACTATTTGTTCCAAGGATAACATTTAACTCAGAAGGACAAAAACTATACATGGAAAATTATCTTAAACCCTACAAATGGGCTTATCTCAATGAAGTAGTTGAGCGATCGAATAACTCTCAACAGCAAACAGGTCATTTCAGAATGACAAATGCTATCTCAAAACCTCGCCATATTTTTGTTTTTGGAATTAACACAGCCAATGTTGATTCACAAACAGCAAATCCATTTCTATATAACACTTTTAACCTGCCAAACAATGCTAATATATCTCGCTGTTATCTCGAGGTTGGAAATGGAAATGAGTACCCCGATATTCACTTTAAACCAGCTACAGATCCAGCAAGAGTTTTCAGAGAAGTAATGGGTTATGTTTACGCAAATAACGACTTTCAACGTGGAACACTTCTCAATGATCAAATTTTGAAACTCTTTTCCCATTTGTTTACTTTGACCTAACAAAACAAAAAATGGATATTAAAGACGGTGTTACAAAACTTTCGTTTCATTATGAGTTATCTGCTAATCCAAACGCTGATTATAATATTTACGCTCTGGTACTTCACGAACGAGAAGCAGAAATTGAACAGCAAGGAGGAAAACTGCTGCTAAGAGCTTAATATAATTAATAAATAAAAATGTATTACCAAATAGGAGGAAAAGCAACCTCCTAATCCTCCTCCTCCTCCTGATCTAATAGATTTCGGAGATGAAGAACCAGCTGACCTCATAGATTTTTCAACAGAAATACCACCTACAGCAAAAGATATACCAGAGGATGAAGAACTGTTTCCAAAGGGAAAAAAGTATAATCTTATAGACGAAGATTTAATACCCACAAGCACTTCAGTTCCTCCAAATGGTGTTAATGTTCTGAACAACATTCTCAAATACCCTGAAACAAAAATATACTGGAAATATCATTAACTCCAGGTTTAAAACACAAGATAAAAAACCTTGCCTCAGAGGCATCACTTGGTATAGCAAATATTATTAGCTCTCTTATTTCTGCTAATCGTGGAAAAATGTCAATATACTCAATAAGTCGAAATCAATAAAAAGAAATTATTGAAGGGTTAATAACTACAATAAGCGTGTTAATGTCTCCAGCACAAAAAACTTAATATAATTATTAAAATAAAATGTCTTCTTATTATGAATACAAAGTAAATCTGTCAGACGGACAAAAAATGAAATTAGCTTCAGCTATTCGAAATCAAACACCTATTACTCTTCGTTTAAAATATAATCAACTCAATGGAGAAGATGAACTAATGTTAACAAAAAGATAAATCACCAAAATCAAAATCCATTGCAAATGGAACAGGAACAGATATAAAAATAAGCCAAACACAAATAAGAAAATCTATTAAATATGGAGGAAACCTATTTACTAGTCTAGCATCTCTTGGGGCGCGATTACTTCCTTATGCCACGCGAGGAATTCCAAAAGTCGCTCCTGCCCTGGCAACTGGTGCAGCTTCAGCACTGGGAGACATAGGCATAAAAAAAACTATTTGGAAGAGGAATTCTGATACCTCCAAGATTTTACAATACGTTACCACCTCTTGCTCGAGAGCTTACGCAGTCCCAAATAAATAATATAAATAAAGCTTCTAAAACAGGAGGAAGAATGGTTATACATCCAACTCGTAAACAAATAGAAGGAGGATTTTTGGGAACTCTTGCCTCTATTGGAATTCCAATGGCAATTAGTTTAGTTTCAAAGATGTTTGGGGGTGGCCTTCAAGTTGACCGAGGACTGGCTAGTAATACAAGAAATGTTTATGTCCCACCACCACCAAGAAGTGGTAAAGGTTACTACCCAGCTCCCCCACTAACACCCTTTTTTGGTACTTGGGAAGACCAGATGAGAAACCCGATAGGAATGGGGGTAAAAAAAAAAAAGCCGGCAGAAAGCCCAAAGGCGCCGGTCTTCTTCTAGGAAAAAACAGCCCATTCAACTCAATTCCCATTCTCGGAACCATTTTGTAATAGTGGAACCTACGGTTCCCCCTATGACCCCCTCCCTTAGCTACGCAAATCAACACTTTGTAATTAAACCTCTATCAAACTTTGACCTCATGAATTGGGTTTCCAAACTTGGTATTAAACATTTCAGAGGAATATATAGTCGTGATGGGCTACCGAAAAAGATTAGAAAAGAATGTGGAATAATCAATCTCGATGACATTCAAGGAGCTGACACACACTGGGTTTGTTACAGAAATATAAATTCGGTAGTAGAATACTTCGATCCATTTGGTTTGATAATGCCAAATGAAGCGATGAAGTATTTTAACACTTCTGGAAAGCACATAGTGTATTCAATAGATGCAATACAAAATCGCAGTACTGTTCTATGTGGTTACTGGTGTTCATATTATCTGTTTGAGCGACAGCGGGGCAATAATATTCTAGACATAATACATAACCCGGATTTTGATGATGACAATAGTGATTTCATAAAGGCCCACTTTTCAGGGGAATCCCCTAAAGTTTAAAAATGATATTTACATTAAATATTATTTTACTCATCTTCTGTAGCATTCTTTAACTCCTTTAGTATTCCAACATTCGTATTTACTTTCTTTACATCCTCAATTAGTTTATCTGGTTTCGAGTAAATATCAATCAGTCTAAATAACTTATTCTTTTTAGAACTCTTTATTGTTACCCAATGATATTTTTGTCCATCTTTGATATCATTCCACAGTTCAGACTCGCCAGCCATTAGTACTCTAGAAAGTGATGTATTTGTTTTTCGGATACTCTTAATTCTTTCTCAAAATCTTTAAGTGTTTTAATATCCATTGACTTTTCTATCTCGGAAAAAAACTTAGCCTCCATTTTATTCTATGTCTAGACAAAACTTCCTGTCACAACTTGCCTTCGGGTATTAGATTTCGATTGTATTTCCATAAGCAACTCAAATATCTTTTTAAGCCGGTTATTGTCTCCCACTTGAGAATAGTCTGCATATTCATAACTCGCATTTAACAAATTATATATGTTATGAAGTTCGCCTTTTACAAACTTTTCTCGATATTTCATATTAGCAAACGCTTTTTATTTAATCATTATACTAAATGAAAGAATCGTATTGTATTGTACTAAAAAAGTCCGATATGTAAAAATGGGATCAGTGCCACGAACCGGAGGTGGAGCTAAAAGAAAAACTAAAAAGAAATCAAAAAACTAAATAGCCCATCTGAAAGGACGGGCAAAACAGGTGGTGATGTTTTTGACACTGTTGTCGGCACAGCCGCAGATGCATTTGTTGAACATGCGCTGTCTTGGATCGGTCGCAAAGCCGTTGAAATGGGGAGATATGTTGCAAGTGAATTAATGAGAAATAGAGAACTACAACGTAAAGCTGTAAATTATGGAATTAACAAACTAACTCCCCTTATTCAAGATTCTGTTGGTACAGCATTAGATGAATTATCAACCAAAGTTAGACCCAAAAAGGAATACAAAACCGATAGAAAGGATCTGGACGGCCGAGGTATTGATCCAATAACCGTTGTAAAAAAAGCGCCAGATGTCGCAATGAAAACAACACAAGAATTGATTCCATCTTTGAAACCAGTTTACGATAGATATAAATCTGGGGATATTTTCAAATCCGCTTTTGGAAGTGAACATGGAATTACATCAAGTAGGTTTTGGAGAAGGCCAACAGCGGCAGAAGAGAAAGCAAAGGGAATAATACGCAAAGGTAGTAATCCTGAATTATTCTTTGCATTTCACAAAGATGGTAAGAAATTTAGAAAATATAAAACAAAGTTTTTTGAAGAAAACCCAGAAGCTTTAACAGATATAAACAACATTATTTCATCTTATCCAGATACATGGCCAGATATTATAAAAAATAAGTATGGAATTAACATTGATGAACACTTTTGGGAAAATAATCCGTTACTAAGTTTTGGAAGTGGAGTCGATATTCACAAATGGATTGGAAAACTCCCAAGACCAAAAGGAGGATGGACAGCAGGTAAGTATAAATATATGGGACCCTATAATCCTCTAGAAGAACAATTAAGTTATGATCCAAACACTGGAGAAGTAACAGAGTGGAAAGTTAAACCATATAACCGCGTTGATGAGATAGCAGCAGATCATGACATCTGTTATGACATGGGAAGAAACAAAGGTGATTGCGATAGAGAGATGGTACAGTCATTGGATGAGATTCCATACGGTGAAATGCCAAAGTGGGGCTCAACTGCTAGATTCTTGATTAATACAAAGAAAAAAACTTGGACTTGGCCTTCAAAAAAACGCGAGTCGGCGTTGAGTAGTGATTGGTCTCAACAATTAGCCGACGAAATTCACAAACCAATCACAAGAAACTTTCAAAAGAGAACAGTGGTGACAAACGGGATTGATGCGATCTGGGCTGCTGATTTGGTTGAAATGCAACGTTTAGTAAGTGGAACAAAGGTATTAAATATCTTTTGATGGTTATTGATGTGTTTAGCAAGTATGGATGGATTATAGGTCTAAAAGACAAGAAAACTGAAACTGTTAGTAAAGCATTTGATGATATATTCAAGAGTAAACGTAAACCACAAATGCTATGGACAGATAAAGGTTCTGAGTTTATCAGTAAACATTTCAAAGAGTTTCTGAAAAGAGAAGGAATTAAACTGTATCACACTGAAAATGGAGAGAAATCTAGTGTTGTTGAAAAACAGAATGTGGAAAATGTTTACCGTGAATAATAACACTGTTTACTTTGATAAGATAGACAAGCTAGTTGATGATTACAATAATGCGAGGCATTCCAGTGTAAAAATGACTCCTGTTGTAGCGAGTAAAAAGAAGAATGGGAGTAAAGTTTGGTCTAATTTGTACGGCGATTTGATTTACACAAAACCTGGTAAACCAAGGTTTTCTATTGGAGACCGTGTGAGAATTTCAAAATATAAAAGAAAAGTATTCGCTAAGGGTTACACACCAAACTGGACGGTGGACATATTTGTAATTTATAAAGTTCTTCCAACAAAACCTGTTACGCATAGCATCGTTGATTTAATGAGAGAACCAATTAAACGTTCTTTCTACGAACAAGAATTGCAGAAAGCAAAACAGCAGACGTTTAGAATAGAAAAGGTTATCAGACGAGATAACAAGAAAAAGTTAGCATTGGTGAAATGGAGTAGTTATCCTGATAAATTTAACTCATGGGTAAGTTTTAAGGATTTGGTTGATTTTTAATACAAAATTTGTATTAAAAATAAATCCTAATAGTTTTACTCAGTTACTTCTTTATCAGAGATAACTAAGTCTTCAACTACTTCCTCAGTATCACTTTCATTATCCTCTTCACTCGCTTCACTCTCATTTTTTTCAACTTCTTCTTCTAAATTTAACTCATGGGTAAGTTTTAAGGATTTGGTTGATTTTTAATACAAAATTTGTATTAAAAATAAATCCTAATAGTTTTACTCAGTTACTTCTTTATCAGAGATAACTAAGTCTTCAACTACTTCCTCAGTATCACTTTCATTATCCTCTTCACTCGCTTCACTCTCATTTTTTTCAACTTCTTCTTCTAAATTTAACTCATGGGTAAGTTTTAAGGATTTGGTTGATTTTTAATACAAAATTTGTATTAAAAATAAATCCTAATAGTTTTACTCAGTTACTTCTTTATCAGAGATAACTAAGTCTTCAACTACTTCCTCAGTATCACTTTCATTATCCTCTTCACTCGCTTCACTCTCATTTTTTTCAACTTGTTCTTCATCACTTTCTTCATCAATTGTTAGTAAAGACTGTCGAGGTTTTAATGGTTTAACATAACACTCATTTACTTTGATTTGGAGAGATACAACAGTTTTAATGATAAATATCCCTTCTATAATGAAAGCCATACGCACATTACAATACTGATCAATATATTTAAAAGGATTTAAATCTTTATTTCCCTTTGTCCTAAACAAAGAAAGAATTTTCTTTGATTTTTCTGAGTAAATAAGTTTTGTGTAGAGTACTGGCGCGGCTGAGGGGTCTATTTTGGTTTTCTTCTTTCCTTTCTTATCAGTATATTCAATCTGCTTGTAGTAAAATGGTGAAGACAAAGATGACGCTAATTCTGGTGAATATTCACCTTGTCGGCAAATATCTACTATATCATTTATAGCAACAAAAAATTCTTGTTCTCTAGGAGTTGGTTCACTATCTTTTGCCCAGGGGCAAACTGGAATTAACTTGTTTGTTTCTTGGTTCTTTTTCTCACTAGCCCCAAAGCTAAAAAGAAATGGACTTTCGACTACTAAATCACCTTTTTTACCATCTGGGTAAACTGTTTCAATTTTGATGCGTTCGTATTTAAGTGACGAATTTTTTACTTGGTAGTCTTTCGCGTCTTTAAAGATAATATTGTTTGGAGTAAGTCTGTCGTAGCTTGGTAATTGCATTTTATAATACTTATCAAATCTTTAAGCTGGAATTCAGTTCTATTTTTTCTGGCCAGAGTAGATTAACAGACCAAAAATTAGACGATTCAGGATTTTCAAATGTTAATTCTCCTTTTCGATTTCTTATCTTTTTAGGTCTCTTAAGATACCGCTCTTTTCTTTCCTCGTCTTTATGTATTAAAAAGTCTGGATACTGAGCGGAACCGAAATGTATTTTCTTTCCACTTGGAAGTGTGGCTACATACTTATTAATCCAAAGATTCAGCACCGAGTTTTTTTGCCTTTTTTGTTAGTTTTTTTAAACGCTTTTCCTTTTACAAGATATTTATCTTCGTCGGATGATGAGGAATCATTAGGTTCATAGGTTTGGTCTTCCTCAGGATTATAACCATCATCAACTATAAAATCTCTGTCTTCTTCTGTTGGAATATCAATCTTGGATTCCATTTTATTATTTGATTAGATTACTTTAATAGATATATAAAAGTCTTATATCAACCATTGATATAAGACCCTAATTAAATTTATGTGTCATATAAAACATTTCGTGAAATCTTCCAATTGTTTTTACAAGGTCATCCCAACCTGGAAAATCATTATTTACATTTCTAACAAATGATTCTGAATTAAATTGCCATTAATCGTCTACATAAAAATCAGTTAACTCAGAAAGAGTATCTAAAAGACTGACAGAAAAAATCACGTCTCTTTCATCAATTTCATTAAAAGATGTATCACGTGATTTATATCTTTCTAATTTATCCAAGTGTTTGTTAATGGCTTTTAACTTTTTTTGGAATACTCCAGTAGTAGCCTTATTTGAATTTTTAATATAATACTCAAAACATTTATCAATCTCTCTTATGAAAAGGTACTCATTTTATAGCCCTTTGCATAATCTGGACAAACCTTTCGAGACATTCTATTTTGGTATATTTATTTCTTTAAATTTCAATTTAATTTTTTCTGACTCAATTACTCTTTTGTAGTTAGTAAAGGATGATTTGTCTCTCACCTCTCAATTACTTTTTCCAGTCATTCCCGCGAGCGAGCGAGGGAGCGGGCGAGCAATTATTTTGTCTTTTTTCATATATCTCCCTAAAATGACAGAAATAAAGGGGAAGTTGGAAGTGGGGGATTTTATGGGAAATGACTGGAATAATCAGGACTGGAAAAAGTACTTGAGAGGTGAGAGACAAGGCATCCTTTACTAACTACTCACATTTTGTTATGAAAACATGTCAGTTTTAATTCCAAAAAGCTATTTCAAAAAGTGGGGAGCATTGGGGAGCGTTTATACCTTGGCGTAGAACAATCTTTGTAAAAACACTTAAGACTAGTTTCTGTCGTCAATGAGCACTATGATAGAAGGGGGGGGGTAAAGGGGTTATTGCGTGATACGTGATTAAGTGTTTTTAATTTTCGTGAAAGGTGAAAATACGAAATTAAAACCGTCCCGTGAACTGTGACTGGTTTGCATGTAGTGATACGTGAACTTAAAAATCTTTTACCCGATATTCGTGATTTTCAACTAAACGTTTCGTGAAATAGTCTCAACTGAAGACAAATTTTACAGGGAAGCCAGTGGACCTTCAAATGAACTTTTCTAAAAGGTCTTAAAAGAATCAAAGGCCGGTTATTTAAACGAAGTTTAGCCAGTGGTTGACAAAACCGTGTTCTAAGCCATTTTCAATTTTTTCTCGGCAAGGCTTTGATCTTAACACCGGTTGTCGTGAACATTTTATGGCAGCATATGTTACAATGTATACAAATTCCCTTGACCCATTTAGCTTTCAGTTGATATTAATAAATTGGTAAGCAACAACGTCAGCAAAGATAGATCTTTCCAGCGATACCTCGTTTTGGGATATTCTGACTAACCCTGACAGAGTTACACTCATAAAAAAGGTAAAATTTAGGGGGAAATTCCACTGCCAATTTCGCTGTTTACATACTATTCCTTGGAATTAAATTTGTCCCTTTGCTAAAAAGTTAGCCAGCCACAATTCCATGCAAAAGAAAGACGATAAAGTGGGTAACAAAACCGCCAATAAAGAAGGAAAAAAAGAGAGCGAGAGAGAAAGATCGAAATAGATTCGCCAAAAAAGTCCAAATTTTGGCTTTTGCGTATGCGTGAAAAACAAAAAAGCTGTTTAATTAAGTCAGATTAGTTGGAAAATATGTCTAGCCATAATTATGCTAATTAGCCGAAAACTAGTCCAAGGAGGAGGAATTGGTGAAAAATGCTGTTTTTTCGCTACTCGCCGGCCGTCACCAAAGGGTTAAAATAAACTACTTAGAAAGAGATCTGGATGCCCAATGATTTCTTAAACCGCGGCCTAAGTTGGTCTTTGTTTTAAATAACTGGCCTTTACAGTCGTTCCTATTATATATGTCGTCCTAAAATATGACCAAGCCTGCAAAAGCAGACAACTTTTTTGGATCTTGTTTCACCCGCCGAGAAAAGGGTGTCTTCGATCCCGAGATGGAAACCATTTCCGTTAGCTGATGAGTCAGTTTTTTTCAACCAATCATAGTTCAACTCTTATTTTCGCGGAGATAACACATGTGGGGTTCGCGTGGGGATCTTGGTTGCAATGGTCGGCAGTTTTTAAATTAGAGGGACAAGTTTTTAAATTGGAAGGAGTAATATATTATGTAGATCCTAAATCTGTGCGGATCCATGGGTTTTCTTGGAGGTAAAGAACGAATTCGAATACCCATAAACAGTAAACATTCCCTTGAAGCTCTTAGGCGTCACATCATCGAGTACACTGGTGTGAAATCTTAGTCCGAAAAGCGTGGTCTAATAAGATCCTCGATTGAAATAAAACTTTAGATCTGTCGGTTAGAAAAGTCTGCAGAATGAGGCAAAGCTTCTGCGGTAAACAACCACGACAACGAGGATGAAATGACTTTTCTACGAGCAGTTACTATACTCGTAGCAGAAGAACCGTAAAACTCAACTTTGAGACAAGAGAGAGTCAAATGACGTTCCTTTTGAGTACTATATATCCGTCAGCATTAGTCATCATTAGTTTACCTACACCTACATTTCATTGTATGTTTACCTGACTTCCGTTACTTCTCTGTATTAGTTGTGCGGGAGGCACAAAAAGCGAAAGACAGCGGCATCTTGAACGGGTCCAGCCATGCACTGACTGTCCTTTTACTTCGGAAATTTCCCTGAGTAGTGTAGTATATGGCGGTACCAGCACATTGGCATATTCTGGATTTGACCTTGGGTTTTTGCTGGTGTCAGCATTTTAGTAACTGGTTTGGGGCGGTTTGTACTGGTTATTTTCGCTAATTAATTGGCAAAACTGATCTAGGTTTAAAGGAATATGGATTTACTATAGTATATGAGTCAAACAGAGAAATTGTGCGATATCCTTCTTAATCAGAATCTTGCTGTCTGTAATTCTATCGCCAATGGTGAGTTCGACCAAAAAAAGTTGTTCAAGTATTTCAAAGAATCGGCGCGCGAAATCAGAAAATTGAAAATGTCACATGGCAACAACAACAACACCTTTATTCGCCTTGTACTTAATTACATACATGAAAGAGAACAGTATATATATATATATATATATATATATATATATATATATACTTAATAAGGCCTGGAGCTGTAATAATCCTAAGATTTTCTAGCCAGTTCTCCAGAATTTAAAGTTTTAGAGACTTGGGATACAATTTATTTCCAAAGAAGCAGTTTTAAAATACAATGTATTAGGAAAGAAAGAGTATATGCTTAAGTTATGTTAACTATGTTGTTCTGACAGCAAATACGGTTTCAATTGTTTTTGGAATTGGTATGTGTTTAGTTCTTTAAGAGTTAAGGGAATTTTGTCCCAGACGGTACATGCAGCATATCCGATTGTTTGTTTCCCCGTATTAGTTCGCACTTTTTTAACTTAAAGATTCTGTTTCGATGCATATCTGGTATTGTATTTGTGTACATTACTGGCATATTGAAAATAGTTTGAGAACAGCTTTGGCAGGTGGCGTTTATGCCAGAGGTACGTGAATTTTAGAATCTGAAATCGATAAACATTATGTACCGTAGGAGCGTCTAATAAATTTAGCGGGGGAAGTGCACTTTCTGTGTGTTCACCATAAGTGGTGGCAAAGAAAATAAGCCTAGCAGAATGATTTTGCTTAGCTTGTATATATCTTATCAATATGTGTTTTGTATGCACTCCCCCATACTAATATTGCGTCAGAGATATATGGGTATATTAAGCTGTAGTAGATTTGTTTCATCTCTAGAAGAGTTAGATAATGTCTCAGCTTAGATATAATACCATTGTCTCGCGCAATTCTTGTACAGATGTATGAAATATGGTGATTGAAAGACATCGTTTCATCAAGCAAGACACTTAGATATTTTATTTGTTGCTTCCTTTGCAGCACATTTGTACCATCTGCACTTTCAATCTTGATATTTACTTGGTCATCTTTTTTCTTTGACGATTTAATGATCATGAAGTTTGTTTCAGTGAAAGTAATCTATTTACATCACACCGTATTTTCACTTTTTTAAGTTCAGAGTTAACTATCTCCTCAAGATCTTTCAGGTTGTGGGCTGAGGCAAACACGTTTGTATCGTCTGCAAATATTCTAAATGTTAGAGCATTTGAACAGTTTGGTAAGTCGTTTATGTAGATTAAAAATAATAGTGGGCCTTGGGAACTCCCTTGTGGAATACCGCACGTCATAGTTTGCTTTGACGAAACTGTATTTCCCATCTGTACATATTGCTGTTTGTTTGTCAGATAGCTTGCAAAAAGTTGGAGAGGCACGCCGCGCGCGAATCCCGTACCGTTCCATTTTTTTAAGTAAAATTGCGTGGCTCACCGTATCAAACGCCATGGAAAAGTCCAAAAACACGCCACAGGAATGCAAATTGTTATCTATCGCATTACGTAAATTATCAGCAATTTCTGCAAGAGCTTGTGAGGTTGAATGTCACTTTCTAAAGCCAAATTGGAACTCGTATAGGATTTCATTCTTTTCCTCGTAATCAACAAGCTGTTCACAAATGATTTTTTCGAAAATTTGGGTTAGTGCAGCGAGTGTAGAGATAGGTCGATAATTAAAAGGATCCATCTCCTCACCCCCTTTATCTATTGGTGTGACTTTTGAAACTTTAAAATTTTCCGGAAATATCCCTCGCAATAGAGATTGATTGAAAACCATATTTAATGCCTCATATATATGGTTTGCTGCGTATTTTATGCATCTTCTTAGAATATCTAATGCCGACTTGTCTACTTTCAAACTCATTATTTTGTCATATACTTCAGTCGGGAAAATGCCGCGGAACATAAAACCATGTGGTGTCATAGTTCTGTCTAAATACACTGAAGAGTCTATGTCATGTTTATCTGCTAGGCCATCTCCAACATTTATAAAATGGCTGTTTAATTGATCACAAATATTCTGCTTGTCTATATAAATTCTGTTGTCACGCAGCAGTTTCTTGATTGTATGTTGAGTATTTTCTTTTTTTGCTCTTATAACTTTGCTAATTAATTTCCATGTGCATTTTATGTTTTCTTTGTTCAGTTCAAATTGTTTAGAAAAATAATTCTTTTTAGCTGCGTGTATAATCCTATTCAACTTATTACTATATGCTTTATACTCTTTTACTTTGCCTGGGTCCGTACTGTATAAATTAGTCTTTACAAATTTGTGTCTTCGTCTGATTGAGTGCGTGATTGCTTTCGAAATCCAAGGCGTTTCTAAACGCTTTCTTTGCCGTTTTCATGCTTTGCGCAAAGGAGCATGACGGACTCTGATAGCGCTCAGATTGTCTACAATAGTAGTTACACTTTCATTAACATCAGTTGATATCAAGCTTTTGAAGTCAACTGCAAGTAAATCTTGGTGAAAGGCATTTTCATTAAAATGTCTAAAGTCTCGAAAAAACCTTGGTTCCTTATTTGCAGGCAGTGTGTTGGCCATTGTACAGAATACTGGTAGATGATCAGAAATATCAGCAAGGCAGAGTCCAGATTTAATTAGCTTTTCGGGCGTATACGTGTATATATGATCGATAAGAGTGGCCGTATGGTCCGTTATTCTGGTTGGTTTGGTAATAATTGGCATAAAACCTAAGCTAAGAAGCATGTCTAGGTACTCTGACGTTTGTTTATCTTCATTATATTTCAATAGATTCTCGTTGAGGTCCCAAAGGACTAACACCTCGTGTCCCTTGGTATTAAGTTGTTCTAATTGTTTTTTCAAAATACTATGAAATAGGTCTCGGTTACCTTTTGGATGTCTATAGACACAGCCTATTACAATATTTTTTTGTGCAGTACGTGCCAGCTCTATTCAGCATGACTCTATTCCATCATCCGCGATATCTAAGTCACTCCTTCTTGAAAATTTCAAGTCATTAGATAAATACAGACCAACACCTCCTGCCTGCGTTTTTAAGTTAGTGTTCACAAAAGCATAACCAGGAATATTCAAATTTGCACTCGTATTTTCATTAATTTTACTCTCTGATATTGCAATGATATCTGGCGTTGTCTTAACTGTGCTTAAAATATCATGCAGTAAGGATTTGTTTTTTTTTTTTCAAACTACGAATACTACAGTGGAATATCGAAAACCCTTTTTGTTTACAAGCGTCATCAAATATTTTGCCAGACTTTCTAACTGAGTAATAGTGAGATAGAATGTAATTATCATTAGCGCACTTAAGTGGGTCATTTTTGTCTGGTGAAACAACTATATCCCTGTATAAGTTTACTTTTCCAGAAAGTCGATCTTCCGAGTTATAAACCCACGAGCCTATGGTTTTTAGGAATTCATCATTTTCCAAATCTTGAAAAGGAAAAGAGTAATTTGGTAATACCGGTAGCGGAGTTATTATGATAGTGCACTATAATAAGCTATGGAAAATTTTGGTAATAAATGCTTAGTAAAGAGTAACAATAGGAGTAATACACCAGCTACACTACTTATCTTGTAAGACTGGTTTGAACGTGGGGGAAGGCTGCTCTTAAATTTATCGAGGGCTTCATATGAATCAATTACCACTACGGTCGACTTATCTGATTCTTTAACATAGATTCGGCTGTTCTGAGTCCAGATATGTTTCCATCTGATCTTTTTCCTCAGCTTGTTAACTTCGCGGAACAGCTCTTTCTTGTACCTGGTCAGGGATGCGGATATGTTTACTCTGCTTTCGGCTGTGTCTGCTTTCGGCTGTGTTACCAAGCGGTTTGCCCGCTGAGCCAAAATTCAACTAAAGATGAACGGCACGACCAGTATCAACACAATGAGCACGATAAATTAATTACCAGGATCGAGCAAATCAAAAATGACAAAAAATAGAGAAAATGGAAGATGAACAAGATGAATTAATTAGCAGATTGAATGGGTTACAACCGGTTAAGGTACCAGATCCTGATATCGAATATTATGATAAATTGGAAGAATTGGAGCGGAAGCGTGAGCAGTATTAGTAGTCTGTTTACGGCACATTGTTATGCAAATGAGGTTAGTCGCCATACAGACCCTTCTAATTTTGGAATGATGAGGATCAACAGAGGACACAATGGAGGCAACATCTGTTACTAAGAAGGCTAGCTGTTACTAAGGACGCCAACGGAGCGGTGACGACATAGGAGGAAATGGCGAACCAATTTTGGGCGAATTGTCTAACCCTATCCAGTCGAGTTAAATGCAAACTAAGTCACTCGAGGGCAGTGTTTTCAGTTGTGAGTAGTCTAGAGGGCTAATCAATAAAGTTTCATTGCAAACCACATAACACGTGGGAAGTGTTTTAGGGTTAGATCAGTTGAGGGGAGTGTTTAGGGTTCAATCAGTCGAGGGCAGTGCTTGCGGTTGGTCGGTCGGTCGAGTACAATGTCTAGGGTCATAACAGCGAGTACGTTTTCACACATTGATTTGCTGACTCAGCTGAATTTGTTTCTATTTTTAGACTATGATGTCATTCTTTTGAATAGAACAGGTATATAAGGAGGTTAACTACTGTAAAAATTTCATTGAGATAGTTGCGCTGTAGCGTTAACACCAATTATGTCAAAGGTAACATATCCTAGACCATGCCCTTATTGTGGGAAGGTATTCAATAATAGATTTAGCTATTGTAGACATAAAGCTCACTGTGGGAAGACTACTCCTAAGGTGCAATGTCTTTATTGTGAGAAATCGTTTGGAAGATTGGACAATTGCAAGCGTCATATGAAAAATGTTCACTCCGAAGGAGCAAAGCGGAAAGCTGAAGAAGGTATGCAGAAGACGAATTAGATTGTTTTGGGTTTTCTTTCGAAGCAGTAATGCGAAAAGCACGGAAGCTAACCAATGACATTACTTTTTGGTTTTTTCTTTAGATGCTGAACTGTTACGGTTGGAATTACTACATTCAGACAAAGTTACTAAATATGCCAACGATGAAAGTCAGCAGGGTGGCGCTGTGAGTACTAGAAGTATGAAAAAAGACCCCGAGAGTGTAAAAGAGGACCTAAAACCTATGAAAGACGAAACACGGGCAGTTCAAAGAAAATTAGAAGACGACATGGACATGTCTCACCAGTTGGATGATGGCAGTGATGACTTTTTGGTAGAGAGAGCCAATCGTTTAGAGCTGTCTGAGAATCCTTTGTTCAAAGTCAATCACACGTTTCTACCATACAAACGGCAGGGTTTGAAGGGTGCAGTCAAGAAAGAACAATTTTCCGTCACGTTTGATCAGTTACGTAAACCCACAGAAGAGGAATCATTGGGAGAGGGTTTGTCAGAGTCCCTGTTTGAAGCGGTAAGGGACACGATCCTAAAAGAAAACCTGCAGGATTCAACAAAAGTTCATCTGACTTTAACCTCAAAGGAACATTCCAACGGCACTGTAAATTCGGGATATTTATCCCACGTAAAATATGGCATCCCAGTCCAAGAGTTTGTGAAACGTGGTGATTGTGTACATGCTATGTTCGAGTCACTGGCAAGAGAAATGAATAGTGCTCAAAATATGAATCCAGCCATTGGGTTCAATGCCACTCTCACATTTATCACCTACCCTGACAAAGGTGGCAAAGGTAGAGCTTCTAAAAATCCAAACAGATTACCCTTTGATTTGATGCACAAAAAGAAAGACTGTATGATCAAGATAAAAAACACAGATGACATGTTGTGCCCGTGCAATCGTAACGATGAAAGAGTACGTGGATGGCGATCCTGACAAGCAATATGATAATCTACGAAGAGGTAGACCTATTTAGGAACGCCTAGCCAAGCACCTTCACCAAGACGCGGGTGTAGCAGAAGGTCCCTGTGGTTATGAGGAACTAGAAAAATTTCAAGCGTTTCTAGGACCCCAAGGCTACAAAATCATCGCGGTAGATTACGTCTCTTGTGCCTGTATTTTTCAAGGCAAAGTGGATCAGTACAGCAAAGTCATCTATTTGCTTAAACACAAGAATCACTACAATGGTTTAAGAAGCCTTATTGCCTTTTTGAATCGGTCGTACTTTTGTCCTGATTGCTGTAAAGAGTTCGATGTTGACGACGCAGCCCACCATTCATGTATGGGCTGTAACTACGCAAGTTGTCAACGAACACGTTCTCAAAAAAAATAAACGGGGCTGCCTAGATTTTTCCCCAGCAAGGAACGTACCATTCACTGCTACGACTGCCAGCGTGATTTCTATGGTCCAGATTGTTTCAAAGCCCATAAAGAACCAAAAGGCAAGAAAAATTTAGTCTTTGTCAGAAACTAAAGAAGTGTCTAAAACGCTGTAAACTTTATAAAGTGAATCCAAAGCAGTAACACAAATGCTACCACGACACTTGCCGTCACTGCCATGAATTTGTTGAAATATACAATCACAAATGTTAAATTCAGCGTGTTGAAGATGTTGACAATGAGGAACACGATGATGATGATGATGACGAGGAAAAGAAGCTACCACCTCTCATGTTGTTTGCTGACATCGAATGTTTGATAGAACCCACAAAGCAGGGAGAGCAGTTATTCATAGCAGATTTGATTCGATATGCTACTGAAGAAGATCCACACAATGTTTCTCATGCCTTTAGTGGCGAAACCTGCAGTGAACAGTTCATTCAAGCCATGAATCAACTAACAGAAGTGTGAGACAAACAGCGCGATTTATTTATAATTTTTCACAACCTCAAGGGTTTTGATAGCAACTTTATCATCGAGGAACCTTACCGTCAGGGTATTAAGGTGGAAAACCAGCTGACGACGGGCACCAAGACCCTGAAGTTCCATTACTGGTATCTGGACGCCATGATTACCTTCAAAGATTCACTTTGTTTTCTCCCAATGCCACTGGCCGAGTTGCCTGAAACATTCAATTTCGTCGAGCTTCATAAAGGTTTCTTTCCGCATGCGTTCCATACAAGAGAGAGTTTAACTTACGGGGGTCATCTACCGGCAAGACACGATTTTCAGCCACAAGCAATGAAGCAAAAGAAACGAAAAGAGTTTGACACTTGTTTTAACCCCGCCCGGTTAGCTCAGTTGGGAGAGTGCCGGTCTGCTCAGCGGGAGGTCGCGAGTTCGAATCCTGGCCGGACCAACACTCAGGGTCTTAAAAATAACTGAGGAGAAAGTGCTGTCTTTGTAATGACATCTGCAAATGATTAGACTTTCAAGTCTTCTCGGATAAGGACGATAAACCGGAGGTCCCGTCTCACAAACCTTGTTCACATATAACTCTGTGGGACGTTAAAGAACCCACACACTATTCGAAAAGAGTAGGGGACGTAGTTCCCGGTGTTGTGGTCTATCTTCATCACTTACATCATCACTCATAATGGGTTGGGAGGGTTCAGAGGGCTCATAAATGGACTGATAGCGGCTGCCATCGGCGCCCTTGGTATGCTGATGTCCGAGCCCGCTGCAAAAATCTCTGTAAAGAGGACATGTATGTTTGTCCTCTCCATCGCGACATTTACATTTATTTACTTGGTACGCGACTGGATTGGCAAGAAATGAAGAATATGTCCTCTGGGAGGAGTTAAACAAGTACTGCCATTCTGATGTAATGGTCTTGAAAGCTGCCTGTCTAAAGTTTCACAGGAAGAAATAATAGAATTAATTTGTTTTAAAGCTTACCTAAAGATACACAAAAGAAGTATTTAAACTATCTTTAATTTATTTACTAAAGACATGAAATACACTTTTCATAGACTTTAAGGTGAAAATTAAAGGCTAACTTATGAACCATTTCATAACCGCTTTAAGTTAAGAAGAAAGGTAACTGAAAGGTTCATTTCATAAACTTTAGGAACTGCTCCTAAAGCGTTCTAAAGTAACATTTAATTAATCTTTTGTGTCAACTTTAGTATAGCTTTAATTTTTCAAAAATGCTTGGTGGTATATCTTTGCTTTGCCTTTAATTCTACTTTAATGTAGTATTAAAGACTCATGTCATCTTTAATTTGTCTTTAATTCTATTTTAATGTTTTATAAAAGCCCCAAGTCATCTTTAATTTGTCTTTAATTCTATTTTAATGTTTGATAAAGGCACCAGGTCATCTTTAATTTACCTTTAATTCCATTTTAATGTTTCATAATACCACGCGTTTGTCATTTTTAATGTGCCTTCAATTCGATCTATTTTAATGTTCATTAAAAGCCCCAAAGAAGAGAATAAGATAAAGGGATTAAAACTGGGGTATCTCAGCTTGTCGGAGAAAAATATCATAAGTTGAACACTGGAATCCATGACTGCATGGTTCCTCTTAAAGAAATAAATAAATACAGTGAAACAAACAAAATCTACTTTAAAATCAGTTTATTGTCAATAATGTCTAATTCTTATTTTGAAATTATTCACTGCCTACTTTAATAGAAAAACCACTTTGTGGTGAAAAAAAAAATAGATCAAGGACCACAACTTCAAAAAGTTAAAAGTACATCTTTATCAAATAGGTTTGATGATCGTTAATTCATAAAATAAATTCACAACACTGTTCATTGTCAACTTATGAAGATAGTCCTGCAATCACACAGATGAAGTGGTGGAAGAATCAAGATCTGATGCTTGAGCATTAAGGGACCATTCACGAATTTCAGGAGGGTCACGTTCTGACGGCTCCTTACAGTTCTAGGCACAATCCTGTCACGTGCCCTCTTAGCCTCTTGTTATACTTTTTATCAAGCTGCTTTTTGATTTTTCGCAGAGCTGTGCTCTCCCAAGGGAGCTTTTTGATCTTATAACTGGTTAGTGCCTCCTTGCCATCTTCGTCAGCTTTATAACAGCTATCCTCGCTGCTCATTGTTTCCATCACCAGGACCTCTTCTTCCATTCTCATGGTTGTCGCCCCATTTCACCATTTCAAAGGCAGCTGTCCTCCTGGTTAACTTCTAAAAGAAAGAAACAGAATAAGAGTAGGTGGTGGGCCAGAACTCATTACAATACAATCCAACTGATTCCACCATTGGATATGTAACAAAAGAGTATAATTAGATGAGACTTAAACAAACAATATCCAGACTAATCTCTCTTATTATTCTGTACATCACAAAAATTAAATCTTATAATAAATTGTTGTTTTTTGAATGAAAAGATATGGTCAGTAGATATGTTATTTACTGCCTCTTCAGAGATAACAAGCCACTTAAACCAACTAAGCATCCAAGGTTTACATCAGGTAACTCTAAGAAATGATGCAACATGCGTGTCCTCCTTTTATGGTCTTCATATTTTTCAGAATTTTTCAGTCTTCTAGTCTCATTTAATGACTGAAAATATCTTTGTAGAGCAGCTGTTGTAATGGTAAAGTAAGGTGTCTAGCATTAGCACAGGCTTACATCAGTACAGGGGACTGTATTCTAGGAAATGATGTATTGTAGGGGAACCAATTACTCTAACTTATAAAATTCAGGGTGCCCAGCAAATAAAAGTAAAACAATTAAGATTTTCTTCTTTGCTTAAGGACAAAGGTAATTCATCACTTATAAACACTTCGGCCAACCTGTCAATGTTTTACAAATGATATGAAGCTACCACTGGATGGTTAAAATCTTAATTGATGTTATATTTATATTATATCACGTGATCTGTTCCAAAATTAAAATAAACAGGAGATGGCCTAAATTTGTCCGACTTAAATGATGTGTGAATATTATACATATGAATACAGGTAAATTTACATTAAGCAGTCCCACTTTCAGGCTGTTTAAATGGTCACTTCTTAAAACAATTAGCATACCGCTGCACTAAATGAAATTGTGCTTTCCTTGTAATGAACTGTTTTATTGTTGACTTTTTTTCTCTCTTCATCTGGAGGAATGGAAAACTCCTTGAGGTAAGGATTAATCCCTCGCTACTCTCACTCACTACTGTATCTTTGTAGTGTTTTTGTTAATGTCCCTTAAAGCGTTTTGAACCTGTATTAAATGGGTCAAACTAACCCGTCATTTTGCCCCTTCCCAAAGGGTGACCACAGCAATTATAAAGGTTGGACTGTGAATTGCCTTATGTGAATGACAGTGTACCTTCCATCACGGCCCTTGTCTATGGACACCTTTCCTCTCCTCCATGTTGGTGTAACACTTGGGCCATTACTCTTTGGAAGATAGTAGCGTTGTTGTCAGAGCTTACTCTAAAAAGATATATCACCAAAGCAAAGTCACTTTCTTGATCTTTGATACATATTGTCTCTTTGGCAGGTATCAGGTACATATTATTGGCATCAATGTTCAATGACACTGGCATTTTGAACTTCTGAAGGAAATTCTTTTTAACCCTTTAACCCCTAGCAGCGACCAGCATCAAATTTCTCCTTACAGTATCACAGACAAATCAAACAGAATAAACTAAAATGATCACCAATGAACAGAGAACAGTGTAAAGAATATGCAAGTTGATTTTTGGGGTTAAAGGGTTAATCTACAAAAAAGGCAGGTGAAAAACTAGAGCTAAATTGGGTTGGAAGGCATAATACAATGGGTGCTATTGTCATTCATGAGGTGGAGGTGTTCACTGTTGACCCTTCCAAGTTCTGTAGTGGCTTCCAAAGAAACATCCTGAGGTACTAATAAATCCTCCTGTCATTACTATTTCAGTTGGCTTTTATTTTATACTACGTGTAATTGACCTGTTCCAAATCTGCGTAGATTCCCTCCAGGTGTGGCCTGCCATTGATGTATGTGCAGTAATTTACTTTCTCTTCAAATTAGAACTTACTTGGTTTTTTAAGTGAAGCTAAGACCTGTTTGGTAGTTAAATTAAAATTTGATAGATGTTTATTATACTTACTCTTCATCAAGGTAGAAGCCGTGAAAGTCTTCCTTTTTAGAAAGGACCTTGTATATTTGCCTTAGTGTTCTCTATAAATGAAAGAAATCACATCCCTTTTTCAGTTTGACAATAATATGCTGGTCAAAAGACATCCCAGGTTATGACTCTCGGGGACAGGAGCCAGAGTTTAGCATTAAAAATTCAGATGTGTGCTTTGGTTTAGTTTTGATGTCATTTATGTCTCACTCAAGAAACAGGTGGCTTGAAAAAATTAACTCCTGCAATGCAAAAAAAAAAAATGACGTTCCACGCTTATTGTCAGTTATTGTCACCACCTCATATGCCCATGTAATCGTCCAGTAATTTATTACATGCATACATTTTTTGTGGCGGCCGAGGTAGAAAATACAAATGAAATCTTCCTTAATCTTGTTACACAAATTTCTTCCTTGTGTATTAAAACCGTGCAGGTTTTTTTTCTCAAACAAAGAAATAAGTAAAATGAAATAAAAGTGACCTATTCAGCCTAAAGTGTCACGAGTGTCGTGTATCTGACCGAACGATAGTAATTTATGCAAGATTTGCGCGCCAAAACCATTCAAACCAATTTTACGCCTCATTCTGCATGTCCACCTACTTCAGTCATTTCAGTTTTGTAATGTATAATTTTCATGTAATTTTTTTATAGCAAATCGTCTTTGCGTCATTCAAATGCACGTTTCTTTTGATACTTACCCTGCATGCCACAGGAAAGGCAATTGTATGAGCGGCAGCCCTGCGTCTGGAGCGATGTCTTTCGCCAGGAGCTTCTCGCTCATTTAACCTTTGCTCAATCCTTTGCAGGACTTGTGTTTGATTTCTTCTAGCTGCCTCGTGTTCTCACCGCAGCTTCTCATTTTCTGCGGCGAGTTTTCGGTTACTTTGGATTAGTTCCTCTAGTAGCATAACACAATCTACAGCCGATCGACCTTCCATAGCGAACCGATTTCTAGCTGCCGGCACAATAACAATAAAAAATTCCGAAGATCTACAAGCTTTCTCGCTGTACAATAACAATTATAAATTCCGAGAAAAAAAAGTATTGATGCAAGCCGTAAGCGCTAACGATCTAGCCTTTTAAAACCGACAAACGAACTCTCAACAGTTGAAGACGAAGGAGTTTAGAGGATTTGCCCGCTATTTTTCGAATATTTTTATATTTGGTCCCCTGTTGCGCGCGCCTCGCTCTGATCTTTTGTCGCTGACCACTAACACAATGGCTCAAACTGGCGTCACTGGCGAGAGATCGGCGGGAAAATCACAGTTAAACGTTGTTGAAAGCGTGTGGGCTTGAAATTCAGGAATCAAAAGGTAATTTTTACGTAGTTCTATTTATCGTTAATGTATAAATAGCGATGCATGTTTAATACTTCCAGAAAAAAAAACCTACAGAGCGATTTATTTAAGCTAATTTAAGCTGACATCGATTTCCTCTCAGTATAAGCTCTACCATCACTAAGGTTATTCATATGCATCTGGTAAGCAGAAAACGCTCAAGCGTACACAAAATTTACCTAGAAAAGCGAGTTGCGTTTCTCTTGTACTCACTCATCACTTTCTCATATAAGGGGTATCTTCTTGGAGAGCCTATACTCGAAAAACAGTAATTATTTCACCGTCACCAAAACAAAGGCAGGTTGCCAGAGGCCACCAGGCAGGACCAGGTGCTGATCATGTGAGATTTTTACTTATGGTGTAGAATACCAGTGACGGCTTTTAGTCAGATCTTTGAGTTTCTGCACCCTTTCCAGTCAACACATATTAAGCAGCAGATTTTGTGTTACTTGAATAACATGGTGCTTTCAAATATGACAGTGGCCATAGCTTTCTAGAGATTCAACAATTATGATGTGTGATTTTATTGCTTATGGTGTAGAATACCAGTGACGGCTTTTAGTCAGATCTTTGAGTTTCTGCACCCTTTCCAGTCAACACATATTAAGCAGCAGATTTTGTGTTACTTGAATAACATGGTGCTTTCAAATATGACAGTGGCCATAGCTTTCTAGAGATTCAACAATTATGATGTGTGATTTTATTGCTTATGGTGCAGAATGCGAGTGACGTCTTTTTGTCAGATCTTTGAGTTTCTGTACACTTTCCAGTGAACACATATTAAGCAGCAGATTTTGTGTTCCTTGAATAACATGGTGCTTTCAATGACAGTGGCCATAGCCTTCTAGAAATTTAACAATTTTGATGTGAGATTTTATTGTTTATGGTGCAGAATGCGAGTGACAGCTTTTTGTCAGATCTTTGAGTTTCTGCACCCTTTCCAGTGAACACATTAAGCAGCAGATTTTGTGTTCCTTGAATGACGTGGTGCTTTCAATGACTGTGATGTGAGATTTTATTGCTTATGGTGCAGAATGCGAGTGACGGCTTTTAGTCAGATCTTTGAGTTTCTGCACCCTTTCCAGTGAACACATATTAAGCAGCAGATTTTGCATTACTTGAATAACATGGTGCTTTCAATGACAGTGGCCATAGCTTTCTAGAGATTCAACAATTATGATGTGTGATTTTATTGCTTATGGTGCAGAATGCGAGTGAGGGCTTTTTGTCAGATCTTTGAGTTTCTGCACCCTTTCCAGTGAACACATATTAAGCAGCAGATTTTGTGTTACTTGAATGACATGGTACTTTCAATGACAGTGGCCATAGCTTTCTAGAAATTTAACAATTATGATGTGAGATTTTATTGTTTATGGTGCAAAATGCGAGTGACGGCTTTTTGTCAGATCTTTGAGTTTCTGCACCCTTTCCAGTGAACACATATTAAGCAGCAGATTTTGTGTTCCTTGAATGACATGATGCTTTCAATGACTGTGATGTGAGTTTTTATGCTTATGGTGCAGAATGCGAGTGACGGCTTTTAGTCAGATCTTTGAGTTTCTGCATCCTTTCCAGTGAACACGTATTAAGCAGCAGATTTTGTGTTACTTGAATAACATGGTGCTTTCAATGACAGTGGCCATAGCTTTCTAGAAGTTTAACAATTATGATGTGAGATTTTATTGTTTATGGTGCAGAATGCGAGTGACGGCTTTTTGTCAGATCTTTGAGTTTCTGCACCCTTTCCAGTCAACACATATTAAGCAGCAGATTTTGTGTTCCTTGAATGACATGGTGCTTTCAGTGACTGTGATGTGAGTTTTTATGCTTATGGTGCAGAATGCGAGTGACGGCTTTTAGTCAGATCTTTGAGTTTCTGCACCCTTTCCAGGGAACACGTATTAAGCAGCAGATTTTGTGTTACTTGAATAACATGGTGCTTTCAATGACAGTGGCCACAGCTTTCTAGAATTTTAACAATTATGATGTGAGATTTTATTGTTTATGGTGCAGAATGTGAGTGACAGCTTTTTGTCAGATCTTTGAGTTTCTGCACCCTTTTCAGTGAACACATATTAAGCAGCAGATTTTGTGTTCCTTGAATGACATGGTGCTTTCAATGACTGTGATGTGAGTTTTTATGCTTATGGTGCAGAATGCGAGTGATGGCTTTTAGTCAGATCTTTGAGTTTCTGCACCCTTTCCAGTGAACACGTATTAAGCAGCAGATTTTGTGTTACTTGAATAACATGGTGCTTTCAATGACAGTGGCCATAGCTTTCTAGAATTTTAACAATTATGATGTGAGATTTTATTGTTTATGGTGCAGAATGCGAGTGACGGCTTTTTGTCAGATCTTTGAGTTTCTGCACCCTTTTCAGTGATCACATATTAAGCAGCAGATTTTGTGTTACTTGAATAACATGGTGCTTTCAATGACAGTGGCCATAGCTTTCTAGGGATTCAACAATTCTGATGTGAGATTTTATTGTTTATGGTGCAGAATGCGAGTGACAGCTTTTTGTCAGATCTTTGAGATTCTGCACCTTTTCCAGTCAACACATATTAAGCAGGAATTTTTGTATCACTTGAATGACTAATTGCACACAAATGGTGCTTTCAATGACAGTAGCCGTAGCTTTCTAGAGTTTTGACCATTATGATGTGAGGTTTTATTTTTTCTTTGACACAGGGTTATGCAGCAGGCGATGGAGTGTCCACCGATATCAGGCGAAAAGACTTTTTTCAGTTTTCTTTCAGGAATTCACAGTTACTGCTTTGGTACTGAGATGAACTTTCAGCGACATTGTGTGACAAAAAGAGAATAAAAAAAGCAATTCATGATAACACCAGTAAAACTTTTTGTTAGTAGTATTATTCATTAGTTTCAAACGATGCTAATAATTATATGTATGTAAAAGAAGAAATCATCTTGCCACTTTTTACTCAGCTATACTGTAAAGCGTCAAATGAAAGGCCTGGGTGTGTTCTGGATTTTTCTTATGAGCTTTGCAACAATTGTTACTACAGTTGAACATTCCTGTTGATGGGAGCCATCACAACTTGTTTTTGTCCCTCTACATCCACTTCAGCTGAGGCGAATCTTGAAAATATCCTTTGGACTGGCATAAACGCCGAGGGTCCTCCTGGATAGAATTTGTTTTTTAGACGCTGATTGGGTTGCCATATAGAGTAGTCAGGTTTCCTCACGCGAGCGAGCGAGTGCACGTGGTTTGTCTTGACCCAAAAGGTCAACTTAATGTCACTTGAAATTATTAAGTTTCAAGAATCACAAAGATGTTTTGTTAAGCTTTAATTAAGTAATTAAAGACGCTGAAATACAAGCGTTCTTTCTGCGTTACTTTTACGAATGTTTAAGTTCAAATTAAAGATGAGTAAAGATCTAAGATCATTTAAATTTGCTTTAATTTGAAATTAAAGGTGCTACATTTTAATAGCTAATTTTGGAATAAATTAAAGACAATTAAAACGAGACCTAAAGGTTATTAGTCTTTAATGTAACCAAAAGGTCAATTAAAGGTAAACTAAAGGGACAGAAAACCTTTCGGAAATTTAATGTCACAATTAAAGGTAATTAAAGATGGAACAGAACTTTTGGTGAGCTTTAATTTTTCACTAAAGACACCAAAATGAAAGCGTTCTTCCTGTGTTTATACAAGAATTTAAAGAGGAAGCAGGGCTTAATCCTATACTATGTTCCACCATTGCTTCTGCATGCAATTTATTCTGGCGAAGAGATCTTATCCCTGAGAGGATACCATTGCCATAGAACCATTGAATGGCTGGTGTGGTGCTAAAGTGAATCAAAGTACAGCAGCACTAGAATGGTTATGTTTTGAAAAATTTTAAACTAGGAGGAAATAAACTACGCCATGTCCGCAACGGTGCAGAGCAAAAGGTGATCACACAAGGAGAGGCTCTGTTTGTCGATGGCTATGACGAAACTACCAAAACGGTCTATGAATTTCATGGTTGCTTTTATCATGGGTGTGTTAAATTTTTCCCAAACCAACGCTACGGGAAACACAATTGTCATCCAGATCGTACTATCTCAGAAATCTATGAAGCCACCTGTAAAAAAGACACAGAAGTTACGTCAAGCAGGCTATACGGTGATTGAGAAATGGGAGCATGATTTTGAGATTGAGAAGAAGACAAACCCCACTCTCACGGAACTTTTGAAGACCTTTCAGCTGTCTGAGCCATTGAACCCTAGAGATAGCTTCTTTGGTGGTAGAACCAATGGAGTGCGTTTACATTGTGTTGCAGCAGCAGGAGAAGAAATTCGCTATGTAGACATCAATTCGCTTTACCCGTACGTCAACAAAACAAAAACGTATCCAGTGGGTCACCCCGACATTTTGGTCAATCCAACGAATCAAGATATTGGCAGCTACTTTGGCATAGATTCATAGATTCTCCCACCACCCCATTTGTATCATCCAGTACTCCCCGTCCACATTGGTGGCAAACTCATGTTTCCCCTATGTACACAATGTGTAATGGAAGAATTGGAAAAACAATGGTTGACTCGTACAGCGGTTTGCACCCACATTGCGGAGGAACGCTGTATAACGGGCACTTGGTGCGCACCTGAGTTGCAGAAAGCTGTGGACCTTGGTTACAAGATCCTAAAAATTCACGGGGTGTGGGCATTTTTCTGAAAATCAGCGCAAAGAGGGCTTGTTTGCAGACTATGTAAATAAATGGCTCAAAAATAAAACTGAAGCATCGGGTTGGCCGAAGAATTGTACCACAGAGGCAGCAAAGTCAGAGTACATCAATGTTTACTACGACCGTGAAAGGGTTCAGCTAGAGCCTGCAAAAGTGGCCAAAAACGGGGGACGGAAACAAGTGGCGAAACTTATGCTCAACAGGTAATTAGGATGGAAAGATAGGACAAAGATGTTCAAAGAATCATTGTCTGATTTGTTTCCCTCTTTGTATTTTCAGCTTCTGGGGCAAATTCGGCGAGAAACCCAACAAGACTCAAACCTTTACCGTCACAAGTCCTGCAGAGCTATATGCAATAATAGAAGATGCTGGTAACAGCATTCACGACATACGAATTTGCACTGATGATATAGTAGAAATTGATGTCAGTAAGGCTGTAGAAGAGGTCATTCCAAGCAATAATACCAACATTTTTATCGCGAGTTTCGCCACGCCATGGGCTCGCTTAGAGTGTACAAGTATTTAGAGCTGCGGAAAGAGCAGGTCCTATACTTTGATACAGACAGCATCATTTATCTTTGGCGTAACGGTTTACCTGAGGTGGAGACAGGCCCATTTTTGGGTCAGATGAACGACGAAACCGCTGGCGTACCCATACAGGAGTTTGCGACAGGGGGTCCAAAAAATTACACTTACATGCTACAAAATGGTGAAACAGGATGCAAAATACGCGGTTTTACTCAGGATGAGCGGGGCAGGGCTCTGTTGAATTTTTATTCCATGAAAAGTCACATTTTAGCTGCGATCAAAAACCCTGGGAATGCACCACAACCTACTGCGGTACCTGTAAGCGTGAATATGGACACCAATAGGACCACCAAGAAAATCTGTCTAACCCTTAAAGTCAAGAATTATCGCCTTGTCTTTGAAAAGCGGGTGATTCAAACAAAGGATTGTAGCAGCAAACCTTATGGTTATGATTGGATAGGCCAACACACTTAAACTAGGCCTCCTAAGGCTTTTTAAGTGAGCATTTTTGCCTAGAGATTTGTAGGGTAGGTTATTGATTCAATAAACGTGTGTAAGGATTATTTCTGTGTGACTGATTTACCTGACTACTTATCTCTTAAACGGAGCTAGATTGCCCTAAACCCACTCCCTTGCCCTAAAAACACTCTCTTCCCCTAACTCCTCCCCTCCCACTTTAACAGAGATTGCGAGGGTTTGGATCCTAGTGAGATGGCATTGCTGACTCAGCGTTTTTGAGGTATAAAAAGACAGAATGATTTTAGCGAACGTGTTAAACAGCAGTCACAATGCAAACAGTATCTATGCAAGATTTGGAACAATTTTCATACTGGCAAGACAAACGTCTGACTAGTTCTCATTGCCATGACCTTTACAACCCAGTGATTTCTGTGGAGTTAACAGAATTAGCGGATCGTGTGGTAGCTAATAACGATTCGGTGGTGGAAATTCAATTGGATTTGTGAACTCAGACAACTACGTGTCCCTGCTTGGCGTGAAAGTTTGTTGATGTCTATGAGCGATGCTTTATTACGAGCACTTCAACGTTGGATTACACGTCATGGGTATCCAATGAAATCACAGTGTTATGTTTCATTGCAAGCGGTCGAACCGTTACCTCTGCCTTTAACAAGATGTCTTGGGGTGTTGACAAATATTCCCATCCTTGCATTCTTTCCTTGGGCGTGTAACTTAGCACGCACCATGTTAGCCCTCTTTGATTGGTTAAGTTATAGCTGGTTGATGACACAACTACAAGCACCGTCTATGGAATTTAAATTAGTTATCATACTGATCCACGAGAACAATAGCGAATGACGTCATCATTTAATTAACGGACACAACAATAGATTGACTTCATTCGATTAATCCATGACGACAAAAGCCGTTGACGTCATTGGGTGTAAATACAAAGGACTTGTCCAGACCTGCCCAGTGAACGTGATGGTAACAAACAATACATGACCCAAGCATACAGAAAATCTCTGGGGATCACTTTTGAGTATAAGTGCTAGGCAGTTTTCCGTTTTCAACTGACTACGTCTTTGTGCTAATAACGACGATGCAAAAGATAACGTATCCTAGACCTTGTCCTGTTTGTAGGAAGAGTTTTAGCAAAAGCCATTTCTTTCAACATAAAAAGAGATGCGGTACAACAGAAAATCGAGTGAAATGCCCAGAGTGTTACTTAACTTTTGGATACAAACACGTTATGTTACGAGATGTAAGACAGTAACGTTCGAACAACCCATTGCGTTTTCCATGTATGATTTGCGATAAGGTATTGATATCTGCTCAAAGCTTGACCCTACACATGAAGACCGCTCATGCTGATGAAAAACCTTGCTTTAACTTCTGGTTCTGCAATGCCACGTTTAAAAGACAAAATGCAAGACAAGATCACATGCGTCGTGTGCATGGACGTATTTGTAGAGAGCGAGAGGTAAATTTGTATCTTCATTTGCAACATTTAAGTGAAGAGAAGAACTTCAAGAACGAGTGGCAATTTGTGGAATCCAGACCCATTGAACACGGCGAGCATAACGTCTGCCCTTGTGATCAAACACACATAGAATCTTAGTTCTTTGTAGAAAACAAATGGAACGGGAATCGCACCTTCGTGGGCTCAGATTGTGTAACAAACGTGGATCCCAAAGCAGCAGCTGTGATTGGCTATTTCAAGCATATTTTAGAAAACACAGTGTAAGGGACATACAAGGGGCAAGATGAGAGAAGGATTACAGCGATTCGCAGTTCGCACAAACACTACGTTAGTACAGCGCCTGCACGTAGTGGAACATTTACACCCACAAGTAACAAGAAACCCAGAGAGCGAATGGGAAGTAGTGGTTGTCTGCCCTGAAGCAGAGACTTTCATTGTAGGTAAAACATATTCTCTGAAGTTGAAGGCCAAGTATAAACAAGGGCAGCTTACTTTCACAGCATTGTAATTTCACTAAGTACGTCATTTGCTGTATAAGGTAAATAAATCACACATTGTTTATACATTTCAACTGTGTTTTATTCACTGACTGTTTTCTAATTTACTACAAAGTTGGGTATATTTTGACTGCAAGTCTGCGAGTTCTTGCTGGAGTTGAGCCACAGTAGGTTTCTTGGGTTTTTTAGGGGCCTTGAGCTGCTGACGATCCCCTTGTCGCTGAACCTTGAGCGTAAGAGTGGTCTACTGTCTTTAAGTCACCACCTAGCCCAAGTCCATCAGTTATCCAGTGGAGAACGAAAACCGTGGCTAAAATCTGCGATCTTTTCCTCAGCAAAATCCACTGGATTACCTTAGATGGCTCTTTACCCCTTTTGGGGAATGCCAGCTCCTCCTTGGAGCCACACCCCTCAACCATTAAAACCCGTTAGACAAGCTCTAAAGACTGAACCGAAATAGCGAAAAGTAACCAAGCTACAAACAGCTAACTGTTTAGAGACGAGCCCTTACCCAGACTTTAAGTTTAACCACATGTTTTCGATGCTCGTGGTGGGGCCAAGTCAGTGCGGAAAAACGTCTTTCGTGGAGCAACTGTTAAAGAAGAGTTGTATCAAGTACCCCAGTAAGAAACAGAGACGTATTTTCTGGTTTTACAATCAATGGCAACCACGGTATGCGTCCTTGCAATCTACACTTAGTGATGAGATTTTGTTTACCCAAGGCGTACCTGCACTGAGTGAAGATCTAAGAGAAATCAATCCAAAGTTTCACAATGTGTTGGTGTTTGATGACCTAATGAGCAAGGCAACTGACAGTCCCGTGTTATCAACACTGTTTACGCAAGGCCGTCATCGCAATGCTAGTGTGATATTATTGCTGCAAAATATGTTTCCCAAAGGAAAATTCAATACTGATATCAGCAGGAATGCTCAGTATATGGTCCTCTTTCGTAGTCCCAGTGATCGTAAGCAAATCGACATGGTGGCGGAGCGGATTTTTGCGAAAGACAGGTCAAACTTTATGAAAGTCTATGCGAAAGAAACCGAAAAGCTTTATGGGTATCTTTTGGTGGACAATCAACCCAAAACTCCAACAGAGAAACAAGTTGTGGCCGAGGTGTTTGAAAACTGCCACTGTTATCCTAACATAACAACTTGTACTAAAACGGTATCGGAGGCAGATAAACCAGAACTGGTATCTCGAAAACGTCCCATAGATACACCGTTAGTGAAAGACAAACACCGAAAACAGTCTGAACAGAAGCAGAAAAAATCAGGGACAATCAAGGCGAATCCTGTGAAACAAAACGTCGAGAAAAAACGGCGAAAACAACCTCAAAAGGAGACAGTGAAACAGAACATCAATAAACCTACGTCCGTTGTATCACTGACCAGAGAAAATTTCAAGGACAACCCGATTAACTGCGACGAGGTCCCGTTTAGCACTGATGAAGAACAGTCTAGCTCTGATGAGGAACAGTCTACTTTTAATGCAACCCAGCTAAACACCAGGGCTAGACGACATGTCTATGCTAGAGGACGTAGCTTTGGACCAAAGATTGTTTATGAATAAAAAAAACATTCGCATTTTTTCCCTGTCACATTAGACAGAGAAAAGTTTTATAGCTTTCAAAAGCAACTTTTTCACTGAAGCTGTACTACAATCCGTAAGTTAGAAAAGTAACTGTCAATGACTTGTGTAATAAAAAGATTTTCAAAAACACCTACGTTTTCTAGTACGCTAAAGTGTTTACGATTTAAACACACGGCATTTATTAGCTGTCTATTTCTAGCTTTTTAAAATACACACTTCATTTACAATGTTACATTGCTAGCGGTTATTTCCACGGCTACGTTCTCGTGGACAAAACCTTTGATATGACTATAGACAGCGTAAAATGGACTGTGGAATTACAACAGGTAAATGTACAATCCAGCGAACGTGACTGCGGTCTCCTACAGTTTAGACTTCACAGAGTGTAACGCTCCGCTAGTCTTTGTGAATTAAAACACAGCAGTAGATTTATTTATTTCTTTCCATGGTCAGCTTCTAAATAGACGCTTTTTTACTACATTGCTAGCGACTCTTTCCATAACTACGTTCTCGTGGACCAGGCCTTTCATAAGTACTCTGAACAAGCAATAATTATTTTTCATTATAGCTATAGACAGTGTTCACAGACTATTGAATTTGAGCTTGTAATTTTACAGCTCATTTGCCTACTCGTTGAAACGGCAGAGACGAACAGTTAAACAGCAAAATCGTTTAGCGGACTAGTCAATTTCTATGAAATCCATTTACTAGAAACGGCAAACAGTCACCACAATACCGCGATAGAAAATAAATCATTCTAAGACAATTCTTTTCGTTTAGCCGTAGAGCTGATTAGTATTCAACTTTAGATTCATAATTAACGGATTACCAGTACGTGAAACTCAGTCGCGTACCAAGTGTCAAACTCTTTTCGTTTGTTTTGCTTCATTGCTTGTGGCTGAAAATCGTGTCTTGCCGGTAGACGACCCCTGTAAGTTAAACTCTTTCTTGTATGGAACGCATGCGGAAAGAAACCTTTATGAAACTCGACGAAATTGAATGTTTCAGGCAACTCGGCCAGTGGCATTGGGAGAAAACAAAGTGAATCTTTGAAGGTAATCATGGCGTCCAGATACCAGTAATGGAACTTCAGGGTCTTGGTGCCCGTCGTCAGCTGGTTTTCCACCTTAATACCCTGACGGTAAGGTTCCTCGATGATAAAGTTGCTATCAAAACCCTTGAGGTTGTGAAAAATTATAAATAAATCGCGCTGTTTGTCTCACACTTCTGTTAGTTGATTCATGGCCTGAATGAACTGTTCACTGCAGGTTTCGCCACGAAAGGCATGAGAAACATTGTGTGGATCTTCTTCAGTAGCATATCGAATCAAATCTGCTATGAATAACTGCTCTCCCTGCTCTGTGGGTTCTATCAAACATTCGATGTCATCAAACACCATGAGAGGTGGTAGCTTCTTTTCCTCGTCATCATCATCATCATCGTGTTCCTCACCGTCTACATCTCCAACACGTTGAATTTAACATTTGTGATTGTATATTTCAACAAATTCATGGCAGTGACAGCAAGTGTCGTGGTAGCATTTGTGTTGCTGCTTTGGATTCACTTTATAAAGTTTACAGCGTTTTAGACACTTCTTTAGTTTCTGACAAAGACTAACTTTTTTCTTGCCTTTTGGTTCTTTATGGGCTTTGAAACAGTCTGGACCATAGCAATCACGCTGGCAGTCGCAGCAGTGAATGGTACGTTTCTTGCCTGGGGAAAAATCTAGGCAGCCCCGTTTATTTTTCTGAGAACGTGTTCGTTGACAACTTGCGCAGTTACGGCCCATACAAGAATGGTGGGCTGCGTCGTCAACATCGAACTCTTTACAGCAATCAGGACAAAAGTACGACCGATTCAAAAAGGCAATAAGGCTTCTTAAACCATTGTAGTGATTCTTGTGTTTAAGCAAATAGATGACTTTGCTGTACTGATCCACTTTGCCTTGAAAAATACAGGCACAAGAGACGTAATCTACCGCGATGATTTTGTAGCCTTGGGGTCCTAGAAACGCTTGAAATTTTTCTAGTTCCTCATAACCACAGGGACCTTCTGGTACACCCGCGTCTTGGTGAAGCTGCTTGGCTAGGCGTTCCTGAATAGGTCTACCTCTTCGTAGATTATCATATTGCTTGTCAGGATCGCCATCCACGTACTCTTTCATCGTTACGATTGCACGGGCACAACATAAGTCATCTGTGTTTTTTATCTTGATCATACAGTCTTTCTTTTTGTGCATCAAATCAAAGGGTAATCTGTTTGGATTTTTAGAAGCTCTACCTTTGCCACCTTTGTCAGGGTAGGTGATAAATGTGAGAGTGGCATTGAACCCAATGGCTGGATTCATATTTTGAGCACTATTCATTTCTCTTGCCAGTGACTCGAACATAGCATGTACATAATCACCACGTTTCACAAACTCTTGGACTGGGATGCCATATTTTACGTGGGATAAATATCCCGAATTTACAGTGCCGTTGGAATGTTCCTTTGAGGTTAAAGTCAGATGAACTTTTGTTGAATCCTGCAGGTTTTCTTTTAGGATCGTGTCCCTTACCGCTTCAAACAGGGACTCTGACAAACCCTCTCCCAATGATTCCTCTTCTGTGGGTTTACGTAACTGATCAAACGTGACGGAAAATTGTTCTTTCTTGACTGCACCCTTCAAACCCTGCCGTTTGTATGGTAGAAACGTGAGATTGACTTTGAACAAAGGATTCTCAGACAGCTCTAAACGATTGGCTCTCTCTACCAAAAAGTCATCACTGCCATCATCCAACTGGTGAGGCATGTCCATGTCGTCTTCTTATTTTCTTTTAACTGCCCGTGTTTCGTCTTACATAGGTTTTAGGTCCTCCTTTACACTCTCGGGGTCTTTTTTCATACTTCGAGTACTCACAGCGCCACTCTGCTGACTTTCATCGCTGGCATATTTAGTAACTTTGTCTGAATGTAGTAATTCCAACCGTAACAGTTCAGCATCTAAAGAAAAAACCAAAAAGCATTGTCATTGGTTAGCTTCCGTGCTTTTCGCATTACTGCTTCGAAATAAAACCCAAAACAATGTAATCCGTCTTTTGCAATACCTTCTGCAGCTTTCCGCTTTGCTCCTTCGGAGTGAACATTTTTCATATGACGCTTGCAATTGTCCAATCTTCCAAACGATTTCTCACAATAAAGACATTGCACCTGAGGAGTAGTCTTCCCACAGTGAGCTTTATGTCTACAATAGCGAAATCTATTACTGAATACCTTCCCACAATAAGGGCATGGTCTAGGATATGTTACCTTTGACATAATTGCTGTTAACGCTACAGCGCAACTATCTCAATGAAATTTTCACAGTAGTTAACCTCCCTATATACCTGTTCTATTCAAAAGAATGACATCATAGTCTAAAAATAGAAACAAATTCAGCTGAGTCAGCAAATCAATGTGTGAAAACGTACTCGCTGTTGTGACCCTAGACATTGCACTCGACCGACCGACCAGCCGCAAGCACTGCCCTCGACTGATTTAACCCTAAACACTGCCCTCGACTGATTTAACCCTAAAACACTTCCCACGTGTTATGTAGTTTGCAATGAAACTTTATTGATTAGCCCTCTACACTACTCACAACTGAAAACACTGCCCTCGAGTGACTTAGTTTGCATTTAATTCGACTGGATAGGGTTAGACAATTCGCCCAAAATTGGTTCCCCATTTTCTCCTATGTCGTCACCGCTCCGTTCGCGTCCTTAATAACAGCTAGTCTTCTTAGTAACAGATGTTGCCTCCATTGTGTCCTCTGTTGATCTTCATCATTCCAAAATTAGAAGGGTTTGTATGGCGACTAACCTCATTTGCATAACAATGTGCTGTAAAAAGACTACTAATACTGCCAGCGTGATCAATATTTCGAGGAAAAGGACTATTATGATACATTTGAGGATTTGGAGCGAGAACGTGATAAATATTTCGAGAAAATGTACTAGGATGATTTAGATGAAAAAATTGAAGAATTTGTAGATGCACAAGATGAATTACTCGAATTGTTGGACAAAAAACGAAAATCGGCAAAACGGATTATCGAAAAAATTGATCAATATGACCAAGTAGTCCGCCGAAAATTTGGTCATCTACAAAAGCGATTAGAAGTTTAAACTAAGTGTTAGGTGACATTTCAGAATCTTCAGTTTCTACGCGATGAATTAATAAAAAGGCGAAAAATCAAGAATGGGGATGTTCATATAAGATCGGCAATAATACAGGCCCAGTTAGATTTGTTTAGTATAGTGCGAAAAATTGAGTAAACCAGATTGAACTGGTTTAGCATAGTTGGTCAAGTTAGTTAGTTAGTTGATTAATTGTTTCAATAGTTCAGGCGGGATATCCTGTAATTTAGCTGCGTTAATAGTTTCGGGATTAAGCTTAATACTAGGTGGTGGAATATTTTTATAGGTCGACTGCGGAATGGTTGATTTTTGGGCTAAAGCGAGGGAGGCTAGCTGTTTCAGCGTTGGTGGGTTATGTATTGGATTGTTCAATACCTGGTTAATTAATTGATTATTAGCATTTCATTGATACGGAGCTCCGTTTACTTCCCTGTTTAGTTAATAAATGAGGAAACAAATGATGGTAAGCGAGAATTAATTCTATAATTTGATCTCTCATCATTCGCATAACGGCAAACTTATAAGCTTTCATCTTTATTATTTCTTTCTTGAGCTCCTTGAGAGTAAACGTTTTGCGATTATTACGTAAATTGCATCAATTGGAGTTGCTTTTGGCGCTCTTGGTTTTCCAAGTATTCTTTTATAATTTGGTCAGCTTCTATGGTATTCATATAATAATTAATTAGATAAACTGGAAATATGATTTATATTAGCAACATGCTCGATTTATGCAATTTGACCCAAACATTCATCGCAGAAGTAAAGCCCATCAAGTAGTTCAAGACACAGTATATTTTTTACAATGCTCGCACTTTGTTTCAATGCAATATTTACACATATATTAACAGGTCATATTATTTTTCAATTCGGTGGATATCTTTATAATGCGTTTTTAGTGTGTCCTTATTAAGGAATTGTTTGATACAATATTTACACGGTACCCTGATATCTTTCATATATTCGTGAATATTTTTGCAGATTCTATCATACTCATTACTGAGTATAAATGCATAACCATTATTGAGGTACTTCTTCTTCATCTCCTTTTGAGCTTCTGATACCTGATAATTATTAGTTGGTGATTTGAATTCAATACAGCGACCCTTATAATCTTTGTGATAATTGAGTACCAATAGATCAGGCTGGCCGCGAGTGTAACCTTTCTTGTATGAATCTAGCCTCTTATCATCAGTATCCTGATTCTCCCCCAGTCCTGCTACTAATATAGCATCTGGATAATATCTCCTTTTTAATGTGACATACAGCCTGTTTTGCCGGCAGTAATTCTGGTTCATAAAAGCTGCCCTGTATTTCCTCGTTGTTGAGATCCCTTAATTTGTAAGAATTGGGTTTGTGGATTGGATTTTATCAATCAGGAATATGTCTTCAGTCAAATTAGGTGTATACCCTTTACCAAACACCTTTCTCTTGTACTTGCTTATCCTAACTTTATCACCAACCTTGAATTTGGGTTCAGATGACAATTGCTCCATATCACCATATAGATTGAAATACATGGCACTTTCATTCTTCTTTTTACTGGCTTCTACAGGTGTCATTTTAATGAAACTGTGTTTAGTGTTATTATACTGCTCCAGTATTTTTGGTAGTATGCCAAGATATTGGGTATTACCCTGGACAGTAAACTGCTTCCACATTTTGGTTTTAATTGTACGGTTCTATCTTTCACACACACTAGATTTTTCCTCATTCTCGGTTGAGTATAGTGTTATGCCATTCTTTTCCAACAGTTCTCTGATATTTTTGTTATAATATTCTTTCCCGTTATCAGTCCAAGGATATTGTAGTTTACAGCCCTCTTTGAAGATGGTTTTGAATGCTTCCGTGACAGTTTCTCCCTTTTTATCCTGCAATGGGACAATCCAGCCATATTTGGAGAATAGATCTAGTACCATCAGATGGTATCTGCAACCCTTGTTCCATCGACTGAACTGTTACATTTCAACCAGATCAGAGCACCAAATTTTGTCAATACCAATTATAATAACGCGCCGCCGAGTAAAGTTGCGCTTTATGGGTTTGTGTAATTCTTCCGCTAATTGTTGTTGCCAACTAATACCCGAAGGCCTTTCTAGTTTAAACCAAGTCCGAGTTTCTGTTTTGTGTTTATTAGATTTCTAGCTAGCCAGTGGCCCCGTTGCCTTTCATTATAGGAAATGGCGTCTAACGATTTTACCATTTTACGGTCAGCTTTATTTTTGCCCTTTCGGTTATCACCGCAAACACTATAATCAATATCATGTTGCATGGCCACTGCATCGGTTGGCCCAGTTGGTTGATCATAAATTTCTAATATTTCACCAGTTTCTGGATTGTATCTCACTTGATTTTCTAAATCATTGTAAGGGCCTGTGTATTTATGGCCGGGTAAAGAAAATCCGCCTGCGGGTCTTGGTAATTTACCAATGGCCTTGTGGATATCCAAAGCACCACTATCCAAATATTTTCTGTTTGTTTTGTAGTTTTTCTTTGGTCGTATTTTGGTTGATAATTGGTCAAGAGCTTGAGAACCGACATTCTGGATCATCGGACTCAATTTGTCCAAAGCGTAATCGATAGCTTTTTTCTGTAATTTAGGATTTCTGAGTGCCTCGGAACCATAATATCTTCCCATTTCAACTGCTTTTTTACCCATCCATGGAAGCCCATGGTGGACAAACAGATCAGTAGCGGTTCCTACAGCGGTGTCAAATAAATCGCCCCCTGCTTGAGAGGGCCCACTTGGTTTCCCTTCTTTACAAATTTAAACTTTTTTATTCCACATTCAGCACAGGTGCACCAAAACATAAGTCTCCCATTTTTGGCAGTTTTATAACCCGAAGGTTCTACACATTCTGTTTGTTTCTTCTGTTTAACACAATAAGATTTCACCATTATTATATATGTATGTTATATAAAAATGGTCCGGGACTTGGCCCGTCGTTTTGACGGGGTAGCTGTTTCATCTAATTATAGGGGTAATAAATGTTGTTTAATCACTATAACTACTGTCTGGAATATAAGTATCATGGCTGCTATCTGACTCATAATCGCTATCACTTAGTGGTTCGCAGTTGCAGCACTCGAAACATCCATATTCATTTACATAATGCGGAGTAACTTATTGACAATAGACACAGAACTTTTCAAACATCTTATATAATAGGATTACATTAATTTGAAATAGTTTATCAGAAATTGGTGATTTATCATTTGATCTGTGAAACTAAATTTGGGGTTCTGTATAACATCTAATAATGGTCGACCATTTTGTCTCTCCAGAAGATAATACAAGCCCCAATAACTGAACAAAACACTATCTCTTTCTTGTATTTCATCTGCTGAGTACACAATTTTTTTACTGCTTGTTTTCAGATAATTTTTAATCTCATTGGGCATAATCAATCCGAACGGGTCAAAATATTCACAATATTCTATAACAAATCCAATGACTGCCCCGCCCATTGAATCATCCAAACTAATTATTCCTGTTTCCAATTTGTGTGTTTTCTCTGGTAAATTATCGCGGCTGTAGATACCTCTGAAATATTTTATTCCCAATTGTTTGACCCATTGTAACAAATCAATATTCGATAATGGTTTGGTTATGAATTTTATAGTATTGTTCCTAGAATTGGGATTGAATTGAAGGTGCTGTTCTTGCCGAGCAGCAGTCGCTTTCCCTATCTTTTTTTTTTACCCGCGCGCCAACTGGGTTGTTCCATGTTCCAAAAAAGGGTGGTGACATGTAAGGGTACAGGTTAATCATTCCTTGGCCATTAGTTGTATCGGGGACGTAAACAGCTGTTGTATTAGCGGAACCGGTTCTGTCGGCTTGGAGGCCCTTTCCTGTCAATGCATTTAGCAACAGAGGGACACCTATACTCGCTAGTAGAGTACCAAGAAATCCACCCTGCTGTGTTCTCGTCGGTTTGATAACCAATCCACTACCCGTTTGGGGAGCATTAAGAATATCCTTTCTCTGACCTGCAGACAGTAAATGCTTGTGCGCTATTATATCCTGCGGAATAAGAAAACCTCCCCGTTGTCCCTTTCCAAATATTTTATCCACACCTAAACTGGCTAAACCTGATAACGCGCCTGTTGCAAGCGGTGTAATAGCCTTTTAAGCCAGTGGCATGGCCATAGGTAACAACTTGCTTCCTAAACTGATTAATGATCCCCACAAACTGCCACCGTGTTTAATAGCCTTTCTGGTTTGTGTTTTTGATATTTTAATATCCGACCCTGTACCCTGACTCATTGCTTTTCTCAATTTATTGATCTGAGTTTTTGTGAGCATTAATTCGTGTGGACTGGATAACTCATTTCTGGTAAGTCTGATTGTTATTGCCTAATTTTTAATATAAGCTCTCGAAAGCTTTTCCAATTGTCCTTTACTGAGTGACACTCCATAAGCATAATATTTTGTCATTACTTGAATATAATATATGTTACACAATTTTAACCATATTCAATTTACGATCTGAGTATTATTTTACCATCCTTCTGGATCAGTTCAACATCTTGCTCGTAGAGAGTTAATGCGTAAATAGAATAAGCTGTTGCCGAGGTTCCAGATAGCTCACGTTTGAATGTCAGTTTTGTGGTGCCGTCCTTAATATCCATTTTCTGTTTTGTTAGGTCGAAATATAAGAAGGAAAACAGGGTACTAAAATTAGGTCAGCTGATACAGAGAATGTGTTATACAAGAATGGGTTCTCTGTCTGGGCATCGATATTTGCATGATTAATTATGAACACGACGTGTCTGGGTTTTGAGATATCGGTTGATATCCTGAAATGCCCAGCTCTCTGCCGGCTGCTATTTGATCTTTCAATATTCTCTCTCAAATAAGTCCAATTATGATTTTTCAGATACTGACTCATGTAGGATGATTGGCTTTCACTGTTAAAGGTTATCCGCGTAACATACAATTGCATCCTGGTGATAATCACTCTGCAATCAGCCCCGGCTTGCCAAATTAGATTACCATCTGACTCACTTTCAAAATTTATCTCAACCCTTGTATTGGGTGTTTTTATTCTTTTTGCTTAATAACTGAATAATTTTATCCCCCGCTTTTTCGCCAGCATATTCACCAGTCTTAGTAGCAGCTTTCTGAACAGCTTTTCTGGTTGCTATTTTAGCAGCTTCTTTTACCGTCTTTCCAAACAGCTTTCTATCAGTCGTTTTGAAAATATTGTTAACACCTTCCCCATAAATATGCTTCTTAACATATCTCCCCATTTTGACATCATAACGTTTCTTGAATTCTGATTGTTTCATTGTATATTATTAGATTATATTATACTGGTTTGGATCGCAATATCAATGTCATAAACCAGTTAATCTTATTTGATCCAATTGGTCGTCCTAGTGAATCTGTGATGTAAAATCTCATTTGTGAAATATTAAGCTGCGAAACTTCATTAAACAATAGTCTTCTGGGTTCAAATGTAAAAGGGAAACAGCTAGCGTATTGGTGTTAACACCGTTCAAAATGCTGTTTGTAATGGCCTCTGTGTTGATATAAATCATATCGATAGAATTTGTGATATTGGGCAGTTCATCTCCGTATTCTGTTTTATTGACAATCTTTTTTGTGAATCCAATCAACCCATCAAATTTGATATTTCTGAGATCTAATTGGTAGTTGTTGTCAATCTGAATGAGAATCCTGTATGTTGACAACAAAAATATTTAGTTAATGTGATATTTGTCACCAGTTTTATCGTCAGTAGTTAGATGACCTTTCTTTTTCATGTACTGATGGAGATAGTCATTAGATCTGAGTAAGTGTACATTCCATCCACAAAGGTAACTATTTTTCATGATGTGCCACCATCGGGTGAGTATTTTATTTTATTATTTTGATACTGTTCTGAAATTTTATGCCAACTATAAGTCATTGTAGCCTTATCCAATGCTATTTCGTGTGTCATATCATTTTGGAGTTTCAAAACTGGGTCAAATTTGATTATGAAATCCTCTGCTTTATTTTTTCCGATTTTCTGTCTGTCAGCAGATGAAATATGGATAGCTCTTTCTTGCATTATATTATTAGATTACATTCAACAGATTGTTAAGCTGGTTGTTATTTAGAACACCTAATTTGTTCAATGTGTGAGCAATTTTCGAAAATTCATTTTTCACACCATTATTTCCAGCCAATATGGATCCGCCTAATAATTCTAATCTGTCCAAAAGGTCGGCTGGGTTATTATAATAAACAACCCCTGAGCCGATTTTTTTGTATTTATTACTGGTTCGGTGAATTGGAATATCACTTATCCTGTTCAGGTTGTCAAATACCATTTTTGATAATGGCAAATAGTTCTTTTTAATATTGAACGTCTTTGTGAGCAAATCAAGGATATCAAAGTCCACTTGCTTATCATATACGTTTTTACCATCCTTACTAGCAATTAGTTTAAGCTGGCCATAAAGTTTGGGCACGTCAATTGTTACATTTCCATAAACACCAGTTTGGGAATTAATCTTATAAGCATTCCTCTTTTTTGCGAGTAAATACCCTTCCCCACTTTCAACGTTTCGGTGCCCTCCTCTAAAATGCCAATTCTTGTCGATATTTCCTTATGATCTTAATTCCTTCATCATACTCGGCAATTTCATCTCTATTTCTCTTTCTGGAAATTTGTTGTGCTCAAATGAGCTTTTTTCCTGCCTAACTTCTCATTCATTTCACCAGATTTATCCAGAATTTGTTTCGCATAATTTGGCTCCTTTAAGGTTCGTAAAAGAATGTCAGCTGGTAATGGCAATTGCTGGTTTTGTATGAATTCCAATTCTTCTTGAGTGAATTCCTTATTCATATCAAGCACCATTTTCGGTGCCTCACCGCTTGGGCCTGGTAATGCTAATCTTTGAACTTGCACAGCATATGGGACAACTTGTTTTTTAACATCTTCTCTTAATTTACTTATCCCTTCTATTTCCTTATGAAACTTTTCGGTTAGAGGTTTCAAGTCTTCAGACGTCTTTTCGTATACATTCTGCTTATTAGTTTGGACTTCTCTTATAACATCCCTAACAACTTCAGTCATTTTTCCTGCTTCAATTTTAGGAATACTGAGTCTCTTGAATCCTTCAATATCCATTATATTAGTACATTGTATAAAAACTTATCTCAACTTATCTCAACTTATCTTAACTTATCTAATTTAATAGTATATGGAGATTCCAAATTATGATTTCAATGAAGGTGAAAATACAAACTTCAAACAACTTTACAAGTATATGCCCAAATCCAATTTCAGGATGCTAATTTGTGGCAATTCAGGTTCAGGCAAAACCAATCTACTTTACCACGTCCTTATGAAACCATTAGTTTATTATGACCAGATCCATTTATACGGAAAAAAATATATATATATATGCCGCCAACTCTGTGAGTGACCTCGGATTAAACTTGGTAGACACACCACGATATAACTTGTGACCCGGTGTTATAGCTCACCATGCTGCTTTTATTCTTGTTGATCCCCATGAGGGCTGCTGAGGTGTACCCCCAATAGCTCCCTTATTAATTCTTTTTATTATTATGTTATATTATAATTCTTCTATATTATACTACAATCTTTATTCTCTTAAATCATTTATGGTTCAGTCCAGATATTCAAACCGATACCGGTAATCATCAAAGTTTGATCTTGCACTTCGCCGTATTCTTTCACAAACAAATTGGACCCCCCTTTGTTCAATTCCAAGCTCCGTACCAGCACGGTTCGTAATAGGAAAATAATGGCGCTCGCCAGTTGTCCCATTAATAGCAACCACTGGTCGAGGCGGGGATTTTCTTATCCGGTTTCTTGAAGCTTTTATATTATTCTCCTTTGACACTTATCATATTTCTTTGTATTTCTGATTGGATC